GGCCCCCCCAAACGGGCTGGGAAGCTGCAAACAGAATGAGCCACGGAGGAGTTACGCGAAGTGGATTTAGTCAAACTAGTTTAAAATGTGGAGGAAACGGGCCCGATTCAAACTGAGCAGGTACCAGCAAATTGGGTCTCTCTTTGGGACGCAGCGTCGAACTGTTCCTGTCGCCTGGGAATAGAATTTCTTGCAGCTTGTCAGAACCTTGAAGATCAAAGATACCCAAAACTCCCCAATATGGACTAGACTCGCCGAATAACTGCCGACTAAGAGTCAGCATCAACTTTAGGAATAGTGCGTATTATGCGACCAACTCTACGGGATGCAATTACGGGATTTTACTGACGAAAAAAACGACGATGTGGAACGGCTGCAGCTGGCTGGTTGGCGGAAGGCTTGGAATGCACCGCGTCAAAGATGCAGCTGCGGAGTTTTCTAGTGAGAATCTCTGTCACGCGAGGAGGGGAGCTGTGACGGTCTTGTGGGGCTGGCGTATTGGCGCGTACGGCGTATGTCCAGTGACGAGCGCAGGATACGACGGACAAGCTCGGAGGCTGAAGCCAGGTTGGGTTCAGAGCATGTGATAGTCCTCCGTTCGACTCCATCCAAAAAAAAAATTCGCAGAGCAACCATCCACCTCGACTTCAGGTTTTGATGCTGGTCAGGCTAAGACATCCTGCTTCCCGCTCGCTAACTGGCAATCCTGCTGCTTATTTTCCCCAGACTTTTTGACTCTTCCCCCTGCACTTTATAAGTCCTGGTCTTCTCCAGCTTTTCCAGAACTCCCGTCGCAATCAATATCTTCATCATCATCCCACTTCATACTTCTTACCTCTAAGCTCTAGCCTTTGGCATTCTCTGACGGAACTTCTGGGTGTGTGCGCGGACGAACCTCCCCCTACACTCATAGCGCCGCTTCTTTGGCCTGGTTGTGCTGGAGTGCGCAGACGCCTTGAGCCTCCTCCCCGCCACATCTCCGGACTTTTAATTCTTATGCCCAGATTCCCACGGCCTGGCGGACAACAAATATTACACCCGTTCGGTTGATGGGGTTGACACGCTTGACACATATATGCTTTTTTTGCCGCCCGGATTGATAGGAACGAACGTGTTTATGTAAATCGCCGGTTCGATCCGTCATTCAAAATGGAAATGAGTACTCCTGAACCTATCCACCAACATGATCACCACCTGAGGCGGGCCTCCCCACCCCCAGGCCCTTTTGGATGTATGTACAAGGAACTATCTTCATTCTTCATTCCTTCCAATCCAGTGTCAAAGGGTGAAAAAATTAAAGACAGAAAAAGAAAACCAACTGAATAATAATAACGTCTACAGATCCCTTATTCAACGTCGACTCACCTTACGATGAGCCGCCTGCTCCTCCACCTGGACCGTCGCTTCTCGATGACACCGAATCTAGCATGCTTAACAATTTCTTTATGTCAATGGATCATCTGGACAGCAACGATTTTTGGTTTTCCCTGGGGGACCAAGACAAGGCAAGCGGCAACTTTGGGATCGAGTGGCCTGAAGAGCTTCCTCCTACCTTCGAAGGTTCAACCACGTCTTTGGGTCCATTTCCAACCTTCGCGAACGATATACATCAAGAAGGGATTAACATGGAAAAGACATCGTCATCGCACAGTTCAGACGTGTTAGCTGCCGCATCCATGCTCTACCATAAAAATGGTCTTGTTTCGCATGATTATTCGACTAGCCACATCTTAACGGAAAACAACAACCATTTTAATGATGTTCACGCAAATGGAAATAACCATAATATCAGTAGTTCGAGGACGAAGAATTCCTTTCTCCCTTCTCGCTTCGTTGAAGCAGTACCACCGGGATCTTCGCCCAAGGACTTTGGTCTCCTCGGTAAAGGATTCCATACCACGAAAATGTACTTCGATGTTGAACGACAACTTGGGCCCGAACAGCAACAGAGAATTGGTGCTCTCCGATGGGGTTCAGACTTGAGATTTTCAGAACGATACCATGCCGCCATAGACGAACCTAGCGAAGAAGAGCGCACCAAAGACCTGCTACAGAATCTGGACTGTCTGGAATCGCAAAGTAGCACCGGAAACACGCGTGCTTCAAGCCCAGCTCGAAGATCTTTCGATCGTGCTATGCCAGAATGGGCTTCCCTAGGCACATGGTCAACAACAGCAAATAACGGTGTCCAATCATCGTCAGCATCGTCAAAATCCATCACGAACGATCCAACTCATGCTGAAGATGGCGCAAGACCCAGGAAACGCCGAAAAAGCAAGAGCAGATTAAAGGATGAAGATATAGACATCGAACCACCAAATAACAGCAAGTACAATAACGAACCGAACGGCCGCCAAACTTCACCAATACCCAGACGCTTCTCTTCCTCTGGCACCGATACAACATCCACAACAGTTACGACAACGACGACAAAACGGAAGAAACCCAAAACAGGACAAAGCGGCAAACCCCGCGAAAACCTCACGGAAGAGCAGAAACGAACCAACCACATCCTTTCCGAGCAGAAACGACGAAACCTCATCAAGCAAGGCTTCGATGACCTGTGTGCTCTCGTTCCAGAACTGCATGGTGGTGGCTTCAGTAAGAGCACGATGCTCATTCAGGCAGCGGAGTGGTTGGAGGATCTACTACATGGTAACGAGCTGTTGCGAAATCAATTGGATGAGTTGAAGAGGAGGCACGCTACTGCTTCTACGTCTTCTGTCACTACTACTACAACTACGTCGACGACTGATATGACCACGGCTTAAAATTAACGTATTTCCATTTTGTCTTGATTTTCCTTTTCTGTCCTACTTCTCTATGTTTCCAAGTATTTTATTTATCACCATTCTGATACATATGGTTTTTCCCATTTTCATTTCCTATGTACATCCCTATCATACCATACTTTTTTAACCTTTTTTCAGAGTCAGCAGTCATGCATGCTTTTCTCTACTGTATCTAACTACATACCGCATTTGGCATTTTCACACCCCAATATTTGACTTGCTGGGTCTCAAGTATCGAATGGGGGTTAGGTAGGGATGAAATTACACATCCACAGCTCTTTTCCAATCAGAGGGAGTAACAAAAGAAGGGGAGATAAACAATAACAGTAAAAAGGTCTCAGAAGCAGCATAGCATCTCCTTCATTTTCCTGTACGTATATATAAACAGAAACGCGAACAATGACATATAACTACAGCATGTGGAAAAAAGAAAGAAAGAAAGAAAGAAACTGATTCTTCTTCCCTTACACTCTTTCAGCCTTCCTCGATGGATGCTCCTAACAAATACTGGTACGGTAAGAGTTAATGTGACCATCCCGAGCGGCAGGTCTTCGTTGCTTCCGATATATTCCTATTTGTATTGTTTAACTAGATCCCGCTTGACCGCTCTGGTATGTGGACGCAATAGCTTCATTTTTATATTTTTAACTTTGGTTTTAATATCAGGCGTTTGCTTTCTTAATTCGAGAGGGCAGTTGAGAGTTATTTTTATTTTTATTTTTACTTTCATGTTTTTTCCCTTTTGGTGCCCATGGGTTGTTAGTTGGTAACCCTATCAAATACCTCGCTTTTTCGCCCATCTGACACTTAAATATAGGTAGATATGTTAATTTTATCATTAATAGCTCTACCGTTCTGCCATTGAACCAAGGAAAGAGGCGAGATGAGAAGGGATGCTTATATATTGTATATAAGGATTTCAGGGATAACTATAGAAACTGTCCTTGACAGTGCTCTGCGGAAACGTGGCGAAACTTGTAACGGGGGAAAATATTGGTGACCTGATGTCCATCAATTCCAATCCAGGAGATGTTGTTTCGGGAGACCCTTTTCACCTTCTCCACCGATGGCCAAAAAAGAAAGAAAAGAAAAGAAAAAGAAGATAGAAATGAACGACTTTCAAAGTGACCTACGTGTAAACACTCTTCTTGTATCAATGCAGTTAGTTCCGGTGGCTGGGTAGGCGGAGCATGGGTGGCATGCGCAAGATTGTTTTCTTTGATGTTAAAATGTTTAACACCTAATTGCCCGGTAAATAAAAATCAAATGGGATTGATTTGACTGAATTTATGCGGGGAATTTGACAGGGAAACAAAACATGTGTATTGCTGTTGCGAGTTTGCACCTGCGTAGTCAGGAGAGGAGAGAGCACGGTAGGGCTAATCGGCCAGCTGCAACATTCTCGCTGCGCGTGAGTTTGGGAATTGACTGAGGCTCGCTGGCACATCAGGATGTGGGGCAGCTTCCACTATGACGACGAGCAATGGATGGGTATGGTATCAAAGACCCCGGGTAAGGCTGATTATGTTCATGTCCACCTGGAGGTTATGCTAAAAACTGCATGTGAATCTGCCTAGCCAAAATGTGAATGAGAGGTATCCATATCGGAAATCAAGGGATGCTCAATAAGAAATAATAAGCATAGACAGAGGAGACGGACGGAGAAGAAATTCAAAGGCTAGATATGCAATATAGCTTGGCAGGATAGGTGCGTTACGCTGGTATGAGGGGCGGAGAATTGATGTGGAGAAGCGGACCGAACGAGGATCACAGCGGGAAGAATCCACAGAAGTTTTCATTCCTGAGCTGGAGTACGGGCAAACGGAGTAAACATGGCATTTGTTGTGCGAGCGAAAGAGATGTGGAATTTTCTGTGGTGACACTATACATCTAACGCTCCCAAGAGCTCCACAACAGCCATGACAGCTCATATCCATTCCGCAAAGTTCCGTTGGGTTTATCTGATTCATTAGATTCATTAGATGAGATCCGTCACGGGACTGAGCACTAGGGTGCGGGGAATTTCTTCGTTTTCGTATGTATTCCGTCTTCAACAATTGGCTATCAATAAGTTGACAGACCGGCCGGGAATTCACATGTGAAAGGGAAAGATGCACGAGTTTGGCCCGGCGAGATCTTCCCCTGACGTTGGGCTGAAGTGACTGGCATTTGGGCTACCAGCTTCGAGCCAAGCCGGTTCTATTTAGGAGGGTATTTATGATCGTAATTCCAATCGGAGGGCTTCCATGGGCTAAGAACAGCTCTGTCAGTCATCCGCTGGTATATAGAGGATTTCAGCATCAGATGCTGCTGTTGTTGCAAGTTACACGCTGGCAGGTTCCGGGCTTGCGAGCTTCGGTACCAACAGCCTCAAATCTGCAACTGGGATGAAGCCCAAATGTAAGAGCATTGCGGACGGATTGGTAGTATCAATCCTTCAACGCGCAGCTGGACTGAACTGTGATTCATGAAAGCGATGGTGGCGAATAGCACTGGATCTGAAGAGCTGAACCACGACGCACTTCATACAGGTTCATACAGGTTCACACGGTTCACATAATCGTGGTCTCTCAGATTTCACAAGGAGACAGCAATTCTATATTATTTCGATCTTCTGGCTTTCTCGAAGATACTCACGTTACTCTCAGGGCTTGAGGAAGAGGTCTCCTCCAGTTTGGATTCGATATCACGTGGAGATAAATAAGGTCTTGGCGTAGGTTTGCTATGCCAGGATGGGAACGCGAAGATAATCCAAAACAATATTGACACTTGCAATTCATGTTGTGGGCTTGATCTGACATTTGTATCAAAACCCCAAGGCCACTTCATCTCACTGCGGTCATGCCTCCAAAACGAAAACAGCGATCTGACGATGGCCCCGACCAGCAAGAAGGAGAACATGATCGCAAGAGATTCGCAATATTGAAACCTCGGACTCGGCATATCGCCGAACGTACAATTAAAACAAAATGGACCACGCTACCTGATTCTGTTCAAGGGATGATCAAAGACCTTTTCCGATCGATCGAGCGGCCTGTTGTTATGAGACATCGCGACGAAAGGAAGCGTATCGAAGCCCAAACGGCGGTTGTGGCAGTCAGAAAAAAGTATGTAACGGGACATCTTGTATCAACCATTGAATCCTCAAATTTTTGGTGTTTTTATTGAGGCCAAAAGAAGGTTCATATCATAACAGGCCCTTGCTAATCATGTATTTTGTGCCGGCAACAGTTTAGGGAGACGGTTACCTCGAATGCCATTCCCGCCTGGTACCAAAGACGCCGATTTCGACTACGAAGCGGCATTGGATGAGAATGTTAGTATTCTCGAATTCGCATTTGATTTGAACATAGAGCGAGAACTGAAAACGTTTTGTAGCGTGCCTTGGAACTTCAATTGGCTGCGGTTGTTAATTCTGCGGATTTGTTAAGAGCAGAGATCACCCGGGAGGAAGCTCATCTAGCAGAAGACAAAGCGCAACTCGAGGAGCTGGAAAAGAATGCGAGAGCAGCGCAAACAGAAAGGAAGCGACAGACAAGAAATGTACAATATGTTAATTTTTTCAAAACTTACCAGAGCTTCCCCTCCGAAAAGGTACTGATTTGTCAATCTAGGCTCATCCAGTCATCCGGCACCTGGAACGACTTGGACAGCAAAGCGACGGGAGTACATCCCTCACCTTTACCGGACTGAAGAATAACAGGGGTATGCTGTGTGAGGTATGGAAAAATTCCCTCAAATCGATTATTTCGATTTATTTTATATTTCTTTTCGGGGATTTTTCCGACTTACAAACCTCAAACAGATTGATACCGACTCAGAACTCTATCCTTTGATTAAGCAGCTTCGCAGCCATCTCGAATCGATGCAAAATAATGTCACCCAGATTGCGGGCCTTAGAGAAGCCATCATTCGTGCCCAATCATGCTTAGATCTTCTTCCCCTAGGGTGACTTCTTCGGATGTTCCCGAGAAAGATAGAATCTTCCAATGTACGTCCAATGCGGAAGCCATCGGCCCTCCAGAGAAAGTATAGACGTTGCTGGACTCCTGTTTCGGCTAGGAAAAATATATAGATATCAAGTGGCTGAGAAGCAGAACCCGATTTCCCAATAAAATGCGGATATTGAATCAGCAGGTTTTATTTCCTTACATACCATCATGTATCTATCTGAACATCTCCTTAGATCTAGGCGTGTAATCACCGCGTAAGTGGAACAAAGCTCCAGAAGAATGTCATTTGAAACATCCGGGCACGAAAAGCGGCCTCTAACTTTCCTACAATTTGATTGTACTCCACACGGGGAACGGGATCAAAGAAATACAATGGCAATATCTCTGGTCTTTTAGCCACCATGTTTGTCGCACCGGCCTGTAGCATTATTGGAATATGTGTTTATTAGATTAGGAGCAACGGCAGGAGATTGTTTGTGGCTATCCTTGGGTTTGAAGTTCGTCCCTCGGCAGTGTTCAGATGTCCCAAAGTTTACGGTTAACAGCGCTCCACCATTCGCATGCGGGGACAAAATCGAACGCAGAGTTTAACTGATCCTATTCCACTCTCTTTTTGTTATTGTCACTTTTGAAGGCCTATTTACTGCACAGAAGACCCATCAGCCCCAGTGCTACCCGCTGCAAGGCATCAAGCAAGACGATCCATTCGAGACCCAACTGGCGACCAACGATCTTCGGGCGGAAAGCGACCGCTCGCACTGTAGTGATACTGATTAAATACTACGCAGTGCAATCGGCTCGGCGCGCCCACTGGAACTAACGTGCATCCTGTTTTCAGAGCAGCAAGCCGTTGATGACCAAGGACGGGGAAACCCAGCTCGCGAAAGACGAAGGGGAAAAGTCGAGTAATGGAGGAGTCTTGGATACAGCCACGCCATCGAATTCAACAGCAGAGCGCGATGCGCAAACCGAAGAGATGAGCACAAAGAACAACCAATCTGCCCCTAAGGTTGCAGATGGGACGCCTGCAAATTCCAGCCCAAAGAAGCGTCGCAAAGTTAATCACGGTGGGTTAAGCAGTTATCTCTTGCAAGCTGAGAATGGCGTCGCTCATATGTATCATTTTTTTCCGCTTTCATTTATGCTTGAATCCTGGCAGCTCGGACGGGAAGAATAACTGCTAACCGTTTGTTACATCTGCAGCTTGTGTCTATTGCCGACGATCGGTGAGCACTCCTTTTTTTGCTTTTACCTAGATGTGCCCGCGGGTAGCTACCAATTTGTTGGCAATCAACGCATAACTGCATAGTCATAGAGTACCAGGGCCGTTATGGAATACAAGGGGATTGGCCTGGCTGACATCAAGGAAAAATCTTCATTCATCGACGTTGGACAGCATATGACCTGCGATTCGGTACGACTTTCCATTGTCCTATGGCTCTCTCTACTCAACTTCTTTTTTTTTTTTTTCCAAGTGCCTGCTGGAACGTGGCTAATGCCTCTCATTCGTGGACCCTTAAAAAAACAGGACCGACCATGTACTCGCTGTATAAAACGCAACATCGGCCATCTCTGCCACGACGAGCCGAGAGAAAACGTAAAGCGGGCGAAGAGCGAACACGAGGTTTCTCCGCCGGAGGAAGAGGTTTCATCGAACAATGATTTCGCAGGAGCTCAAAATATGCCACGGAAGATTGAACCGCATGAGATAAATCAAGTGCTTCGCAATTCCAGTGTCCCCAACCTTTCGACTTCCATTGATCATTCTCAATCTTCTCAACCTCAGGGTATTTCTTCAAACCCGGTCGATGTTAGTCCACAGCAGCGTGAGTAATTTATATAGGGCCTTTTCTACACACATCTTCGTGTCTATTCCTATGCTAGTTAATAACTGTGATCAGTTATGAGTTACAACGATTGGCGATTTGGCACACAGAACCAGTTCCAAGACATGCACACTTTTCATCCATCATATATGTTCAACCATCCCGAAGTTACAAACGAATATAATTTACTTAACGATTTCCTGAGTACGAGTTTACTTGACGACGCCTCCATGTATCCAGGGGAAGAAATGTCCGGCCTCTATAGGGATTCGTCATTACTTAATTCCATGTCAACCAATCTCATACCGCACAATAATCAGCCGTTTCTTCAACAACAGCAGCAGCAGCAAGCCATGCTACCTCCATCAATACTGTCTGCTCAATCCCAAACTGCAAACGTGGGGAACTCGATTCAACGTCCAAGCAGCAATGTTGGAAATGAAAAGGCCAAGGAAACTTATTACATGACAGCGGCAGATCCGTCGGGAACCGATCCACCGGAAGAGAGGATGAACAAACTTTTAAAAGCCAAGTATGATGCGGGCTTGCTGAAGCCATTCAACTACGTCGGTGGTTACGCGCGGTTAAATTCGTACATGGAGAAACATCTAGAGCCTGCATCGCGACAAAAGATCCTTCGCCAACTAGACAAATTTCGGCCCAAGTTCCGGGAACGGATGCAATCACTTACAGATATGGAGCTTTTGGTGGTTGAGATGTGGTTCGAAAGGAGCTTGATGGAGTACGATCGTGTCTTCGCGAGCATGGCGATACCAGCGTGTTGTTGGAGGAGAACAGGCCAGATTTTTCGAGGCAATAAGGAGATGGCGCAGCTTATCGACGTTCCCATTGAGTCTCTGCGAGACGTAAGATTTATATTTTCCCAATATAACCTTCGTTGAAGCCGTTCCTAGCAGAAATCGTTTACTAACTAACATAATAACCTGTTCTAAAAAAACAAAAGGGCAAATTGGCAATCCATGAAATAATTGTGGAAGACCAGCTAGTCAGCTACTGGGAGAAATTTGGAGCGATTGCATTCGACAGCACTCAAAAGGCAATGCTTACGAGCTGTACGCTGAAAAGCCCCAATTCGAATAGTCGAGCTGAAGGCATCAAATGTTGTTTTTCATTTACCATCCGCCGTGATACTCACAACATGTAAGTACATGTACATCTATCACCACCGACACAATATATATAAGGTATTAGGAATATATATGCTGACAGGATACAAGCCCTTCTCTTATCGTTGGAAACTTCCTCCCGATGAAACGAACGGACCGGTGATCTTAGCCGTATTTACTTTTTTCATTCTCCTGAGACCATTGAATAAAATACTTGTGTATATTGTACGTACATGTACATATCTACCTCTGCTATCTCGCTGTATATGCCACCATTCCCCATTCTCTCATCATGACCTTGCTTCAACCATGGGGATGAACTTTTTCCTATTTTTATTCTATTTCTTTGTCTTTCTTTTTGTTTCTTTTGATTTTGATACTTGCCTGCTAGCTCGTTGCAACTAGACTTGGTTTTCTATTTTCGGTATGTATTGGCATCCTATTGTCGGGAGTCCGTATATATGCTTTCAGTCGATGCCACGATATCAATATTAGACTATCAATCCACAACAGTGCTCCATTGTACTGTGACGTTATTTGTTTGTTAAGTATAGCCGGATTGGACATGTGTTGTTGGGTTGACCACGCGTGACTCCTTTTTCGGTCTAGCTGGACGACCTTTTTCTAACTTCACCTGCTCACCACGGAGGTGTCCTTCATCTCCAGTTCTCAATTGCTCAACATCTGCTCCATCTATTCCTAAAACACTATACGAGACCCGAATTAATTTCCCAAGGGGAAAAAAATAAAGAAGAATAAGAGAGAGAGCTCGGACATCTATTGCCCCTATAATGATGCCGCAAGCAAGCCGGAACACCACAGCGAAGACAAAGTTGATTTTAGGTACGTCTGCAAAGGTTCTCCCTTCTCTCCCTTTCCTCTGCCCTGCTCCTCATTATATCGGTGGCGTCCGGAATGGCACTTTCTGATTACTCCTTTCAAACGGGGCATGTTAGACTTTGGCACATTTCTCCACAAGATATTCCTCAAATCCGTAGAAGATGATGACGACACCATCTTCTGCGATAAACTCCCTAGCATCAACAGACACATAAACTACATCTTGGAGGCACCGAGCGATCCTCTCCTAGATGATCAAGAATTGCTGGATTCGATAGGGACGAATTTGTGGAATGTGTGTACGCGACTTATCAGGAATGATGGTGGAAATGGGGAACGTTTGTTGGTTTTATGTGTTGGTTAGTGTAAATGAGTTCTGGGCTATCTAATTTTGTGGACATAAATTTCTAGTTTTGCTGATATGTGGCCTCTTCGGGTAGCTCGGGCATTTTCATTTTTTATGATTGAGTTTGGGGCAGGGAATGAGGAGAAAGGAATTGATTCAGGTGAACCTATTCTACCACAATTTCCCTGATCAAAACCATTCGTAATGGGATGGTACTGACTGTAACTATTTGAAGAACATACAGATTACTTGAGACTTCTAAAAGTGGCCTTGGCAACAGCACGAGGATGTCTAGGTTCGAAGTGAACAGGATGCGCTACTCTTGAATTGCAGAGCCTAACAAGGTCTATAGATGTTGACCAACTAAGTCTGTGTTTGAAAATACTTGGGAAAGCTGCAGCTCGTGAAGAAGTCCTGTCAAAGCGAAATCAAGGCAGCAGTACTCCTGATGGCAGTATTTGCAAAAGCTCTACCGAATACTATATTTTGCGTATGGTACTGGTAAGATGAAGCTTGAATCTGTTGTTAGTGGCTATATGCTAAGGAACGCCTTACCTAGTCATGGCGTCAAGATCAGATGGAAATTACAGAGCATATGTTCTCTAAGATTGACGTGGAATACTTAAAACATGATCCTACCATGGCCGAGCGGTGTGCAGGAGTCACTTACGATATCGGAAAATCTATGATAATTCGAGGCGAGCACTCGTCAGCTGCGTGCTGGTTACAACGGTCCTATGAAGCATTACCCCAACCAGAGATTGGGCGGATTGGTGAGAACAGAAGAGAACTCCAGTTCGCTGTGCTTCTTGCGAGAGGTAAGTGCTCGTTGTCCTCGTTCTGGTTATTGGGTTATTGAACTTTGTCGTTTTTCACTAGTCCGTGCAAACATGTTTTTACAACACGAGCATGGAGAAACTATTGTTTCAAGTTTACTTGACATACTTGAGCAAGTAAGTCATGTCTTCATCTCCTTTTACCACAATTTGTTGGTTTGCTACTAATCTTGCGCCAGGAATACGGAAATCGACTTCCGGTTATCCTTTTGAACCTAGACGTTATCAGCAAATCACCCTCCCCTGACAGCCAACGTTATTACGCAAGTACGTACTGTTATCTCGAATGAGGATTTTTCAACGACTTATACCTTGTATCTATGCAGAGCTCTGTCACCTGGTTCGGACAGTTCCTATCACTGAATCGAATTATGAAATGTTCGTTATATATCTTCAGCTATGCGTATCAAAATTACCTAACATTGGATAAGGATAACTCGACACGTACATCGACTAAACAAATGGAGGTGAGCTCTACACCTGCCTCAGTTGCAGTGCTACGATTTCGTGCTAATAAATCGTGAAGTTCGGAGCTTGCACTAGATATCCTCAAACAGCTTCTGATACAGAGATTGGTTCTGCATAATGACATTTTCATCCTGGAGAAGTGTTTTGTAACATTTGTTTGGATGCAAACTGCGTTATCTGAGCTTACCGCTGGCCTAAATTCGCTTTTAGGTTTGATAGAAAAGCTCGAGGAATCGTTGCGGAAACCCTTTAGCGAGGAAGCCGCCCAAGCATCTTTAATTGTCAGTGTTTTCTTACAAATCGTATATGAACTTTTTTTACTAACAAAAGAATAAATAGCTCTTGTGGAAGAAGACCAATATTGCTTATGAACGCAAAGAATATGATGTTGCAGAGAAGTGGTGCTTGCTTGCTCGGCATATGATGTTTGTAAATGCAGGAAATACGAACAGAACTAAATTGTGCAGGTACGTCAAGGCTCCCAGACGCACCAGCTCAGGGACTGGGACTCAGCCTAGATAGGAAAATGATTCTCTGCGCGTTGGGGAAAGTGGATGCATCAAAAGCACGTCAGTTGTTCGACGACATGCCAGAGGCCTCAAGGTCTGAGAGTTTGACACAGTATCTGCTGTACAAAGTTGCATTGTTGGACAAGGATACTCAATTGGGTAGGCCAATATCTACCGTTTGCCTCCGCCAACATAATCTGACCTGTAGTGGACAGCAATGGAGTGTCTTGAGACTCTTTCCAAACAGGGCACAGGATCCGAAAAATATATTCTGGCATGCCTTGCGGAGACACGACATATTGAGGATAAATATCAAGAAGTTATCGCTCTACGGATTCTGCTGGATATCCTTGATAAGAAGTCGTTGGATGGAATTCATTTGCCAGCACTTCTTCGGTGATTATGTCCAATGTTTACCTGTATTTCGATCGATACTATTACCATGGACCCGGCTGATGCAACTCTAGACATACTATCCGCCTTCTCGTCTCAGAAGTGAGCAGTTCAGATCAGTCGATACAACTAGAGGTCATAGAGAATACTTGCAACGTATTCGAGATCGGTGTGTTTCGCTTCCTTGGTGTTTTAAAATGGAGCTGATCCTAACTCCGTCACCGTTAAGCAACTGCAAAAGCGATCGAATACTGTGATCAGGAGAACGGGAGTCCCTTTTCAATCTCTGAGATGGAGTGGTTTTCTCGAAATAGCTATAACCTCGCCGTAAAGTATTGTACAATATGGGATATTCGCCCCGTACTATCTCTTGTGAACACATCTATTAAGGTGCGCCACGCAGCTTCATCCGAAATAATTTGGACTAACCGAACTGACTGGAAGCCAGTTCCTTGACATGTATCCTTCGAACTTGACTCTGAAGCAGCTATATGCTGTCACTTTGCGAAGGTTACTTTGTTATTTTTTGGGCGCATTACTTAACATGGCTCGAGCACGAACAGAGGCAGATGCTCAAACTCGGGTTCGTCCGCGCTATTTGTGTCTTCAAGGATGTTTGGGTCGGAATTTACTGACAGAGTCCTTCAGGCAGATTACTACCTTGACTCCAGAAATTATATACAATTCTTTCGAGATGTCTTCAATTGTGAAACCAAAAACTTGGAAGTGGCAGATCGGAATGACTTACTTCAAAAACACCGGACATTGTTAGCGTTTGACTTCGAAGCTGCTGTGCGGTTGCGGCAGTGGGAAAGCCTTAGTGAAATCATCGAAGAATCCGAATCATTCGCGGACGACGTATTATATGGCACGTTTTCGGATGCAATGCTCTGTTCAGAAGCACCCCTTGAGAATGCTGCACGGGTCCTGCAGGTAAATTGAACTAACCATCCAAACAATGCGTCATACCTGTAATTTCCCCTTCATTGACTTATGGCTGACACTAACAACACTGAAAATAAAGCAAATAACTACTAATATTGCCCGTCACGGCGAAGTCCGCGACACCACCAAACTTTCCCGCTGGATCCGGTGTCAGTTTCAACTATCCTTAGACTCCAACGTCGAGATGGCAGAAAGCGTACTTGAGCAGGCCTATGTGTTAGCCAGGGAGAGCCATTCCCGGTCTGAGAAGGGTGAACACAGGGACCTGCATAGGCCGGCAATATCCTCGTCATGTTACCCAGAAGAAGAACTTGAGTGGCTTTCCACAACGGTTTTTAACCGTGCGGTAGATTTCTATACAAAACCAGATGATACTTCATGTCGACGGTGGGCTCAGAAGTCGCTCGATTTGGCGGGGCTGATGCACGATGGAGGTCTTCTATATAAGGTGCTTAAGGACAGGTTTGAGGGTTTGAGGTGGCAATGATGAGGCTTGCAGTTTGCTTATGGCAAATGGTGAAATTAAGCATGGCGGCAACAATGGTTGTCTGATGAGGTGGGTTGGCTGCTTTGGCATGGCCGCCGTTAATAGATCTCGTTATTTAGGAGTGGCATTCTCTGTGTTAACTATAACATATGCAGTGAGATGGCCGCCTAAGCAATGTACGCCTAACAGATCCAAAATTTGAGAAGACTTTAGATTATATCAAGCAAATTCGCTCTTAGTATTATCTCCTCGTCTGGGGGCGAGGCAACAATTAGCGCAATACCATTAGTGTCATAACTAAGCTGTTAGCTTAGAAGTACCAACCAATAATTTCTCATACTAAAATCTATGTAATCTGATTTGTTGATACTGCTCTACGCGTTCTGCAACCTTGGAACCTTCTCTTCTTGATCCATATTCATATCCACCGTGGATGTGACACCCCTGGCCACCCTGGCCACCCTGGGATAGAAATATGGATTCTACAGGTGATTTTCCAATTCTTCAATGCTTCTTTTAATCAGATTGACTGATTTTTTTATTAGACAGTACAAAAATAGGTGTAGAGTGAAAGCGATCTATCAGTGCACTTCTTGCAGACATTCCATCTTTTGAGAGTATTAGATTCAAACCTATGGAATCTCTTCATCGCCCCCCAGCTGTCAATCTGTCCAATGATATTGATCCACGGAATCCATACACCCTATTCTCTCTCTATATCTCAGAGGCAGATATTCAGAATATTGCCAGTTCCACCAATGCCTACACAGAGATTCAGATATCAAGGAATTCAGCCATCAATCCACAGGATTGGCAGACAACTACTCCTGCAGAAATCAAGGTATTTCTTGGGCAGATTATCTATATGGGAGTACATAAGTCTCCAGCAATTGGGAACTATTGGAACAGGAATGATGTACAGGGGCCACTTCATTCATCAAGATTTCATATGACACAGTATCGATTTGAGCAGATCAAGAGATATATTCATATATCCAATCCTCACAGGCTGGAATCCTCCTACTCCTCCTTCATACAGAAGCTAGAGCCTTTATACTCCAACTTCCATACAGAAATACTACAACCCAGGTTCAAATCTCTCCATTGATGAGATGATGATTCGGTTCTTTGGACGGTCCAAATACACAATTAAGATGTCTCAGAAACCAATCAGACAGGGATATAAGGTCTTTAAGCTAGAAGAACAGAGATATCTTTGAACCTTTTTCATGTCTCATGATAATCTCCGCATAAGTACGATGTTCCGGACTCCAGGATTAACCAAGACTGAATCTCTTGTGGTGGAATTGATTGAACGGCTGCCTGTATTCTTGCAGAGCTCCGAGCAGCAGAGCTTCGAGCAGCATTCAGAGTTGAATAACAGTAAAGAGGTTGCTGACTACTCAATTTATATGAATAACTACTTCACATCTGTTGCTCTATTCCATTATCTTCAAAAGCAAGGAATTGAAGCTTGTGAAACTATCCATCCTGCCAATCTGCCTCCTCTTCTGCAAGAACTGAAGAACTCTGGACTATCCTCTCATATTCCTTTCAATACTCTGTGTATAATACCTCAAAATGAGGTTCTCTGTCTTGGATGGAAAGACAATAACATAGTATTACTACTGTCTACAGTTCATCTGCCAGACAGCTTTGTTGAACATGTCAGAAAGCGCCCAGGATTGAGCTCTACTAATGGCCCTCAAATCCGGAGAATATTTGAAGATAACTGGCAAAAAGCTGTGAAGATTCCTACCATTATTGATGATTACAATCATAATATGAATGGGATTGACCAAGCAAAGCAGTATAGAGCTTCCTATGAGACTCATATCCTCACTAATCAGACCTGGTTGACAATTCTGTACTTGATTATTGACCATGCTATTGTCAATGCTTATATCCTTCATTGACTGGCTACTACTGACTCTCACTACTACTCTATCTCATGTGCAGTTCCGTCAACAGCTCTATCTTCAACTCTTTCAATACTCAAATCCTCTACCCACTACTCAATCAAATCCAGATCTAAATCACCATCGGATCTCCTTGCCATATACTCAAACTTGTGCCTGGTGTCAGTACAAAAGAAAGGTAGCAGGGGAGAATAAAGGAAGAGCTCCAAGGACAAGATATGGTTGTGAAGCATGTAATAATATTCCTCTCTGCTTGAAAAGAGGATGTTGGAAGGAGTTCCATTCTCATGATATTAATTAGGGCTAGATCAAATAGATTACATAAATTACACTAAAACACGCCGATACAGCCGATCTCTCATATAATCCAGTAGTTTTCGCGTATTTAATACACTAATGTACACGCTAAAAATACGCTAATTGTTGCCTCGCCCCCAGACGAGGGGATAGAGAACTTTTTTTAACCAGTAAGCTGCCTGGACGAGACGGGTGAGATTTTGCTAATTAATTGAACATCCTGCAGGGTCAAGCTACAATCAGAGAATCTTTGTAGCACATGGTCCCGAATCAGCCCCCAAAAAAAAAAAAAAAAAAAAAAAAAAAAGTTCGATCAGGCAAAGGAAATGTAGTTAACACTAAGACCCCATTTTATTGTCCGAACACCAATTCCTTGCCAGCTGCATCGGCAGCCAACTTCTCGAGCGTCGCGTCATCTGGGTCCACAAGGGCATTGTTGCCATATGGAACCATTGGATCCAAACTACGGAGTACGGAGTAGATGAGTTACAATTAATCCTGGGTCCAGCCACTCCCCAGAAGCGAAAATCCAATGCGGGAATAAACCGCCTCGGCGCACGCTTATCACCTAGTTGACAAGCATCTTCGAGGTCGATGATATAGCTGCATAATTCAACCCAAATGTGAGCAATAAACGGGGACGGCACAGGATTGCTAACCCACACTAATTGCGAGGTCGTGGCAACAATATCTATATAATCGTAGGTTCTAACGATTAGCTTTGAATATAAGAGATTGCTATCTTGATAAAATCCACGTAAGTACTTCACGCTACTCTTACTATCGCCTCGTAGCCTACCTCTTACAACTAGTATTCACCATCAGATATTGATGTTGATAACAGAGATAGCTATCGAGATCAACGCGACCCCAATATATATCAACAATATATCAATTTTGCGCTGAGCATTGGCCTGGATTTCTCATCGTAGCAGAGTGTTTTAATATGATAAATTGTTCATAGTAATGTAATGTGTGATTGACATATGGGTGGCAAAAAAAATTGGTAATTTGTATCCTGGTGTTGTTGGTAGCAGCACAGAGGCACTGGAGAGAAATTATAGTACTATTAGTAGTAAAATGAAGAAAAATTCAAACATGATAATACAATTATATATGTATATCCCCACATAAATTAAAGGAATATTCAATTTCTACTAGATTTAGTGATTGCTTTTATACAAGCCACATGTATGCCCTGAGAATTTAAGACGTTGGCGGTCCGACATTCTGCTGCGTGGGTGTGTTCTTGTTAGGCCACTGGGGCAAAAGAGCTCGATCACCACCAGCGCCATGGGGAAGCAGCTGGGGAGCTAGGCCGTTAAGGGCAGGGCCGCACACCTACACAGACTTACACAGCTCGGTACATGCTAATCTGACTGAATAAGATCTGCTGTTCAGTAATATAATGCTATATATAACTCATCAAAAGGATCAAACTGACTTCAAAATTTATTTTATAGAGTTCAATAATATAATTAGTTGAAAAAGTGATGAATTTGAAAGATTATCTAGAATATCGTTAATTTATCAAGTTGTTAACCAACAGAAGAAATGAAACTGAGTAAGTATGTATAAGACTGAGAAACAAAGGAGAAGAACGGAGGGGGAACGAGGGGGAATGGAGAAGGAGACTGGGAAGAAAATAGCAGATTTCGGGCGGGCTATACGTAAAGTGAAATTAACATGTAGACGGAAAGCAAGATGTGGTAGAGCGGAGAAAATTAGACGCCTATATTAGATAGGCTGAAACGAATTAATGAGAAAAGGGCGGCTTTATATGGACACACGTTTCCAACGTATAGAAAACCATGCGAGCCAGGGGGAATATCCACAAGAAGAGAGAAAAGAACAAAAATAAAAGTTAATTAAAAACCAAATAAAGCAATTTGCACGAAGGAGAGATTAAAAGAAATACAGAAAGAGGAGAAAGGAAACCGGAAAGAGAAAGAGCAGAAAAAAGAAAAAAAAAAATTCAAGAATGAGGCTAACGAAATAAATTCAGCCCTCGAAGCGTCTACCCTTCTCCATCCGGGTCCAACGAATGGGTCCTATATATGGTCCCACCATTGATATTACGACTTAAATTTGGAGTGGATGGTATCCGCCGTGCAAGTTTTAGAGATTTGACAGGCATCGAGGTTCCGATGGATCTTCCTGTTTTGGAATGGTTTTCGAGGTGCGAGTGTGAATTCCCGTTAATCTGGATGCGCTTCGATCGCTCCCCTAGTGCGCGCACAGTGAGATCAAGCTCCCTTTCCAGCTCAGGGGCGGCATTTAAGGGGTCTGTTGAACCGTTTAATTTCTTCCTGTATGCTCTCAATGTCCTGCAGACCTGCTCCGTGGACATGTTGAGGCTGCCAAATTCGCTAGTAGGTGCTGGTGAAGGCGTAGCGGGGCTATTGACGGTATTCCCATTGGATTTTGTGCGAGAGCGGAGATCATAAGAGGGGCGGCGTAGGCTGCTGTTGCTGATTTTCGCCGAGAGGGTTTTGGAGGAATGGGATTTGGGACTGGGTGGGGATGGGGAGCTTCTGCTCTTCTCGGGAATCATGACGCTTGATCGACGAGGTGGTGGAAGTGGAGGAGTAGATAGGATGGGTGTATTGTATCCGATCTTCGATATTGAAGGGCTAATTGTATATCGGGATGTCTTCTTTCGGATGCGGGGTGGCGATGTCTCTCTGACCGGCGTAGGGCTGGGCGATGGACCGTCAAGGCGTTGAAAACCAGCAAGTTCAGACTTTGAGAGAATTCGACGTAGTGGAGGCTTAACAGCCGTCAGTTCCTTTGCTGGAGTTGTGTCTTCAGCGCGAACGGGTGCCGCCTGTTGTATTTCTTGCACAGGTTGCTGTTGCAGGATGGAAAGCTCCCAAATCATGATTATACCATCAAGACCTGTACTTATTAGAGTTTTCTTTACTCTTTCTTTGGTATCTGCTGACTTAGTTTCGATCAGGACGATATCACTGACGCCTTCGGTATGGCCAAACTCTCGTGTCAGGAGCGTGTCCTTTTCAAAATCATAGACTCGAATGGATTTGTCCGTCGTTGACACTCCAACAAGAAGTGGGGGACTTTGTTCTGGCACTTCACAGTTTGCCATTAATGAGCTGAGCACGACCGTGTCATTCGTTTCCGGGTCTGATGCCTTAAATGAATGGATCTGTCTGCCAGATGGGATATCGAATCTGTGGATATGCCTGTCTATAGTGGACAAAATAAGTGTATCCTCTCCATCAGGATAAAGGGTCATCGATACGGGAGACGCCTTCAGCGAAAGAACTCTCGACAGGCTGAAAGCTATCGTAGTGTCCCCATCAGTTTCACGGGTCATGCGATCTCGAACGATAACCGTGCGATCGGAAGAACAGGACAGTAGCTTTTCGCTGTTCTTCAACAATAAGATGCGCCCAACAGCGCCGACATGTTCATCCATCGTTTGTATCAAGTGGAGGGAATTATCGGCAATTTTGAAAAGTTGGACCATCCGATCACGACCGCAGGTGGCGACTATGGTTATTCCGGCGCTATTTGCTTGCACGGCAATGTCTGTAACCTCGCCGCCATGGGCTCTGGCCCCGTTCGTGCATTCCCATGGGTCTCCGGTGATTAACCTGGGATATGACATGAGCAAATGGAGCATTATACTGGAAGTTTCCTCTCTGACATTGACCTCACAACCCACCTTATTACACCGTATTTATCACCAGAAATAAATGTCGTCATATCCGCTGTGGTTCGTACAATTTTCAACTCGTTTTTATCATCATCGTTACCGGGCAACTGCTCAAGATCTACTTTCCTCGTCGCACGGCATCTGCCTTGAAGGTTCCAGAAATTGACGGTTCCGCCTGATGACCAGGTAAAGAAGTCCGCTTCGTGTGGTCCGGGAGGCGTTAGTGCCCCAACACCGAGTACCGCATCTCGATGTGCCGGCATGGATATTTCTGGTAGCGTATCGACATTATCCTCGCCCACTTTGCTGAGAGGGCAAACCCGTATCGCGCGAGTAGAATCCACCGTGACCATATGAGTAGCGAATATACCCATAGAGATGATCGCTGGCCTTTTTGTCTTCGGATTAGACAAGAATTGTTCGTCATGGTCCGGGTATATTGGTGATTGGGAAATCAATGATTTCAATTCGTCAATTGAAGATTTGTGTATTCTTCGGCCACGACCGCCGAACCAGACCATACCGGATTCATGGTCTACGACAATGGAGCAAATGCCAAAAGTCACGCTTTTGACAAAGTGTAACTTTTGCTGTGCGTTAGTATCATCAAGAATACATATCATGCCGCTATCGGAGCAAACAATTGCTTCATCGTCTGAAATGCTTGAAACGCAGGTGAATGTACAGTTACCCAAGCTGCCCAGAAGACAGTTTCTTCCAGCAAGTGCTCTTGGCGAGGAGCTTGACGGAGAAGGTAACGTAGCATCGGGGACGAATCGTTGCTGTTTGGATGGAGAGTTAGGTCTAGGTTCGGTCAATCTCCAGACTTTAATGTGCCTTATTCCGACACTACGTGAAGCTAATTGTTAGTGAATAGCGTTCAATGACATGTGTATCTCACCCCTACACGTACGTAATTAAACTGATTCCCATCCAGCATATATCCCTGACAAATGATGTGCATTTGTTTGTCGAGTGTAGCTTCGCCGCGCCATTTTTCAAGTTCACATTCCAGATGAACAAGAACCCATCGTTAATATCACCGAGCGTAGCCAAATACTGCGAGGTGGGACTGAATGCAAGGCTACGAATGCCAAACGAGTGATCCGTCATTATCGACACAGGGATATCTAGTGGTGAGTCCTTGGCAGTCGAGAATATCAAAACCCGGGGGCTATAACCAGTCTACGTTGTGTTAGTGGGACTTTGATGGTCTTTCTCCATTGTAGATGGTGGGATGTGTAACATGCCTCTCCTACAGCTAGAAATCTGCCATTTGGGCTTATCGAAACGCATGTGATTGCTTTTATCCTTTCTCGTGAAGTCCATGTTCGCGAGCCGGAATTATCGCCCCATTCTACATTCGGAGAGCCGGCATATGGCGCTCCGTTTATACCCGACGATCTACCTGCAGGTTGAAGTGACCTTATCCGCGTGTCGGGTGTAGTGGGAGGTGTCGACGTATTATAGAATGACTGGACAGGATTAACGGGGGCTGCGGTAGGCCGTGCGCGGAAGAAACGTTGTGAGATGTTCATGTCCTGATCTACCTCAGCTAGAATTGTCGCTGAACCTGCACACAGCGCAAATGATTTTGTAGGTTCGTGGAAGGAGAAGCCATTCGGATTTAATGTGGTCGTCCCGATCACAGTCTGCAGGGATAATGTCGAGTAATGCGAGGGTTTGTGAGGAGGTCTTGCTGCCGGTTTTAGGGCTGGAGAGTTCGCTGGCGTGATCTTTATGGACGCTCCAAGCGAGCTTGGTGGTCTGATTTTGGAACCTGGTATATGATTGCTATTGCTATTTCCATTGATATTAATTACCATTGGCTGCTCCATGATTAAGAGAAGGTGGTGGAGCTCGTTGTTGGACGTCTCCAAACAAATGGGGCCTTGTTTTCATTGCAGAGTGCGGCATGGATTGCTTTGAAGCTCTAGAGCTCTAGAGCTTGCCCGCATAGGAGACGCTATATCTCTTGCAGGCAAACCGATCTTAGTCAACGGAAGCGGATATGCATGCAATTGAGGTCCCTATGCAGATGGGAACATGGGGGTCCTGTATTCTGTGTTGAAGACGCGAACTGACATATGCCTTCGAAAGTAGCAATACAACCTCGATAGAAGGATGGTTGAGACGTAATAAAGTTGTCGACTTTAATAAGGGACTCGAAAAACTGTATATATATCGCGAGTATGTAGACCTTAAGGGATTTTATGTGTACTGCAACGGGGGGTATATTGACGATGTTGAAGATATGTTGGCGTCAACAACGATGAGCTACCCTTGAACAGTGTGTATTGGCATTACTAGGTCAGGTTTATCTTACAGGGGCGTCTTGGCGTATTTTTTTTTCCATACCGGAAAACCTGCTGCAATGCCCAATGAATTGTTACAGATGATCTGCCAGTAAGGGACGCCAGATGGACAAAAATATGCGTTGAACTATATCGGCAATACATATAGGATATAAATCTACACGATGACAGCGTACAGAAACCGACTCATCTTGTTCTCACCTTCGTCCTTCTAAACTCGCCAGAGAGCTGGCGGATCGGAAAAGTAGGTATGTGTAGGAAGAACAGGAAATACAAACAAAGCAAAAGTACACATAAATTTAGAAGGAATATCTATTGGTTTTTCTCAGTGCCTCGAGGTGTCATATTTGGAGAATATGTTTTTACAAGGTGTCAGTGAGGACTTTGTTCAGCTTGGCAATTTTGGAAGAAACGCTGAGGTCGATTGTTCGATCGCCAAGTTCGACAACTAGACCGCCCACGATGTCAGGATTGATCTATAAGAAGAAAATTAAACAATGGTTAGTTCCGTGTTTGAAGTTTGCATAATGATTCCAACCTGTCTCAAGAAATTGAGCTCGTCGCCCGGATTCACATACCTTTGAAACAACCTTGAGCTTCTTTCCTTGGCTATATTCAGACTTGGCAACAGCCGCCTCGAGGCGCTGAAGGGTCTTCGTATCGAGTTTCTAAATTTTTGTAAATAAGAGTCTAGTCAGATCGACAGTTCACTTTTTCAAGCAATCGCCCCATCCTAGTCGTCTCCATGTTCAAGAGGCACCCGATCGATATTCGTCAATCAAAAGTTGACCCAACAAATCGCCATACCTGAGCACTAGTGATAACCAACTCAATCTCGCCGTTGTGGGCGCTCATCAAAGCAGCAAACTTTTCACAGACACCCTGCAAGACACCAAGCCTGTTGTTCTCGGCCAAAGTAGAGAGGAAGTTATTCAGGATGTTGTCCTTCCCTGGGCCACCGGCAACTCGTTGCAGTTCCTGGATAATCTGGGATTTATCGGCAGCGGTGAGGGTGGGAGCGCTGAGCATGCCGGGTAATTTAACATCGGTTTTTAACACCTCTCCCAAAGTCGCCAGGGCTTTGGAGGTTTGTTCTAGGTTGGATGTCTTGGCCGATGCGATATACTGATATTTATCCGAGGAACGAAAATGTGCCGGAATACGTTAGTTTTTCAAATCAGACTTAGACTGGGAAAGCTCTAATTGCGTCTCGCGACATAGTTGGGAGGGGGAAGGGAGTCATTCAATGCGCACCAGAGCATTGGCATAAGTGCCATCGATGCCAAAGAGGGCGATAGGCGGCTTTGGGCTCGTTGTGGTCGTGGCGTAGGTTCTGGCACCAGTGCGAACGGCAACCCGAGTAGAGGATAATTGGTGGGCTGTCGCCCGAAGGGTGGATTGAGCTGCTCTGGACGGCAACATGGTAGCAAAGGGTCTCTATGATACCAGGGAAAGAAGTGCACAACGTGGAGGGGCTGAATAGAGAGTGGGGCGTTGCAATTGCTGCCGGAGACCACAGTCCTGGATACAATTGACGTTGAAAATAGCCAGAGAGAGCAATTCGTTAAAGCACGTGATTATAAAAATCATCTGGACGTCCAATTACAATACGGTATTAAACTGGTAATTTTTAGTGCTCTATGACGTCGGACGCTAGAAAATGTTGCTTTACCCGTCGCAAAATAGTATCGAGAGACAAATAATGATGAAATTTTCGAGGGAAAAGGTATAGAGATATATCACAGATTCTAACAGAATTACTTGTTGCGGTAACATACATCCTAACCCCACAAACGCCAGCTCAAATGCACCAGAAGAGAAAGAGAACCCAGGAATTCATATAACATAATTCTTTACCATCCTTTCGTCTGATAAAAGAGTGGTGTATCGCTCCTATCAATGCAATATCTTCTTAAGTAGTCCATACGCCATTCTAGTCGCTGCGAAGCATACTTTCCACCAGATCGCCCAGTGGGCCCCAGAAGTCCTTCCCGCTGGCCAATTTGTGCTCATCCACGAAGAGCACGTAATGCTTGAAGCTAGTGTTAAGATGTGGTTCGAGGCCCAAATTTACAATCACTGGGTAATGGTGACAGTAGATATGGGCGTATACTCGGTAAAGGCGCTTGAACAGTTGGCGCAAGAGACTAGTGAAGGTTTTGGGGAAAGGGACGCCTAGTTGTATCCGAACAGCGGTATTATTAGTCTCAACAATAATATTTTTACATCCTTCACTACTAATTGACAAAATGTAGATGCGAACATACCAATTCGACTAGGAAACATTTGCTCGTTGTCGATATTACTCTGGACCCAAGCCATCAAATGCTCAACGTACTGAGGAGCCGACATTTTCGTAGGCCGCTTGTAGTTTTCCGAATCTTGCCACAAATACTCGAATCTACCAGCCTGTAAGCTTTTTTGTTTTTTGCATGTTTGAGATAGCATGTTTTCATCACTGACTCATCTGTAGCCTTCATTTCCGGACATGATTGCGGCGAGCAAAATTCTGTAATTGATCCGTAAAGAAGGTTGATCTGGTTATAGAAATCCACAACTACGAAAGTTAGCAAGTTTTCTATATCCCTTCGCCATCTTTCTCGCGGAAATCTCTCCAGTGGTTTTAAATAACCATACCGTTCACTGCAAGCCACTCATTTAGGTCTTCGCCCTCTGGCAATTTCACTGCTTTCCTTAGACTCCCACTACCAAGCGTAGCCTCTGCAAACTGCCTCAGTTGGTAGTTGGTAGTTCCCCTATGTGCCGTTCTTGGCCTAAAAGAGCCCTTTGATCGCGCATTGCTGTATGAAATGAACAGTGAATTAGCCAAGATGCTCTTATAGTGTTTTCACGGTAGTAGGTATCACTGCCGCTTTGTTCTCATAAATCCCATATATAAATGCTCCACACTGCATGGGCAGGATACTAACATGGTTGTTATGAAGGACGCCATGAATCTCTCACTGTCTCTTCGCTCCAATACAGGTAGGTGCACAAGCTTGGTGCTTTGGAGCCCCTCCCTTTGTCTGATACGATTTCTGATTGAAGCGGTCTGATTTCAAATATTCCACACTCTGCGAATTTTAGACCCTTTGTGGGATATATTCAGTACTAAATAAGGCAAGAAGAATACTGCAACTTCAGATCGTGACGAGCTTCTTGCGCGCTTCGTGATAACTTGAGCCTTTCGATGATGTTCTCGCAACCATCTGGCGGCTGGTTGCCCGGGCGACTATGTGGGTGCCAACTCACGTGATATGACACCACTCCAAGGTTCCTTTCCACACCTTTGATCAACTCAATTGTGAAGAACAAGAAAATATTTACGGAGAAATGTACTGAGCATAGAACAACCAAACACCAATTCCTGTCCAGGCTCAAACTGGTTACGTTGTGGAGAGTCTGGTAACTTCTCGCTCCTTTTGTTCAGTGCTGAAGGCTCTTTCAACTCTAATACTGGGCAGCAGAATGCCAGGAAATTTGATGCTCTACCCGTATTCATAGCTTGTGAGATATGGCATCATATTCAATAAAATGGTTGAAATCTCAAGTCGCAGACAAACCACACAAGAATACGGATTCCAGGGCTTTGCGCCACAAATCACTCAATCAAAGATTCTGGCCTCGTGAAATCCACAGCAGCTGCGAGCGGCTGGCTTCAACACGTCTTTCATTAATCGCAGCCATCAAATCTCCTCTGGGCGATCGAGTATTAGAATATCCTCCAGCGGATTCTTATTTCACACCAACAGATCAGCTGAGAACCCTGCTTTAACCTGAGCTAAGAGCTTCTCCTGCCAAAGCAGACTTGCCGCATTTACAGTGGCACTTTGCAGGACCTGCTCCGCAGACAAGACCTACAAGCGTAATCCAAATTATTTCGTTTGCGCTTCCCCAAGGGATCATCATCATCGCCGCCGCCCCAGCAGATCTGAACATTAACATAAAGTAACATAGAGTAACTCCAGCATCAACCGCGATTTCTAGCGCCTGCAAGTCAGGACTTCAGCATTTTTCGAGGCGCATTTCACAGGGAAGTAACCGCTCCAGCTGAGAGGCCATTTCCAAATACGTGGCTAGGGTTGGCGTGAGAAAGATGTCCTGTAATACCAATCATCAACGCAGTGGCTGATAGCTTGAGGAGTGTAGGCGTGCACAGTCACAAGCATGATAGGAACGAGACACTTCAGTACTCATCTGGATTTCCTGGGAAGGAAATTGTGTGTTCTGCAGTCAATCCATCGGCCTCCCGCACCCATGATCTTGATAAAATTCGCACGACAGCGGAGTTCAGGTGGTGTGCGGCAAGTTGCTCCACTAAGGCGGAATGACGATACAAATGAGCGAGTTGGTGGTTTGTTTGGTCATTGTCCTCAAGAGCGATGAGCATATTAGCCTTCTCCTCCTTCGCCCAGGAGTAAGTCACCTCTCCCCGCTTAAGTTGCCGAGTTCTGACCATGTCGACTACTAGTCGTGGGGAATAGAGCGGTGGGCAGAGAAAGCGGGACAAAGTGAGCAGAGAAGACGAGGCCGAGAGGAAGGTAGAAACCAATTTGATGAAAAGCGAGGAAGATTGGAGGTTCAGGGGTAAGTCACGTGTGACCCTACCGCAGACTCAAAGTCCAACACGGGAACAGAAGGCAGCCGTTGGGCTTAGAAAAACTTAAAAGAGGACGCTACCGCACAAAAAGTAAACCATCCTATCTAAAACTCAGAGAATGATTGGGATAAATATATCATTATAATGCTGGATAAGCGCTACTCTATTTCCGAAAACTAAATGCCAGAATAATAAATGAATAAATAAATAAACAGAGATAGAACATAGAAAAGGAAAAAGATAACGAAAATGCAACCCTAGCCCAGGCTTTCGATCTCCTATATTACATGACACTTCAAGCCAGATTACAATTTCATGAGACCCAAAAGTGAACTGGCTTTAGCTAGATCGAAACGCCTTGGAGTTCCTCCCCAGCGGGTTCTTGAACACTACCTCCATACACAGTCAAAGGAATCACGACCTCAAAAGATTCACAGGAAATACTTTCCAACGACGCCAAGACCATGCCTCTATCATCCCGTTCCACAGTCTCCAGCAGGTTGATTCCAGATGGCCCAAACCCATCATCATCAAGGATGCTACTTGTCACGAATTCGAAGCGAAGCTCCCATTCAAGATTGACCCCTGAAGTGATAATCGTTGGTGTCGCGGAGACAGGAATCGAGGGCGTAAAAGCCACCCTCGTAGCAAACAATGTGTTTTCAAAGCAGCGGGCGTGCATTTTCCGCGTCGCGCGTGTAATGCTCGCGCTGGAGCGGAGGGCAATTGTCGGGCTGACTTTTTCGGTCGTTTCAAGGGACCCTCGTAACGAGTAGCAAGGTAGTGCAGAGCCCGAGAAATCGATCGTGGCGATAATGGTCTCTCCTAGACGATGAGCTGGCCGGTTCAATATTATAACTGCAATCCGTCGTCCGTTGCGAGTTATCTCAAACCGGTTGGCGCTTCGGTCCGACGTCGATAATTGATTGCTTCGCAAAATCGCTAACTCGATTGCGTCTTTACAGGAGAATTGCCCTGTGGGAGAGAAAAGACCTAGACGATTGTCTGTGGACAGCGTTGATGTGGTGATAGATTCGCGCCTAACACAACGATCCAATATCTCATCGACATAAGACAAAAACTCCGGAGCTGAGGTCCACGATTTTACACTTATACTCTTTTCTTTAGTAGCGCGTGCAGGGACTTTTTCGAGTTTTTGTACACGGGCTTCATCTCGAAGCAACACGTATGGTCTCATCAAGTCATGTCCTAGAACAGCTCCTTGGGCTTCAATAGTTTCATAAGTAAGAGTCGATCCATAGATACTGTGCATTGTAAAATAAAGGACTGCGCTCACCATCAACTCCACTGAGGACTCGGAACGGAACATTTATTCGATGGACCTTCTGTGGCTCTTTTGGATTTATGGCACGTTGAGTACCAATGACCAAATTATAGGAAACCTTGATCGCTTTCCCTTTGTGGCTCGCGGGCAAACCCCTTGGCAAGGTAAATGCAAAGGAAAAGCTCTTTTCCTCACCGGGATCCAAACGCAAGTCGACAAACAAAAGAGACTGCGGCGTGGACAGTAGGGGAATTGCCTGGGACGAGGCGACACCTCTCATGTCTCTTAATCCATCGAGTTCGTTACTGGAAAGTAATGTAGATAATGAATCACTCAGATTATTCCATCCGCCAAGGGTTCCCCAAAATCCATTCCGGGCCTTCTCAGTTTTGCGAGAAATATCGCCTCGTGCGGGATTTCCTACCACTCCCTTGCGTTTCACCTCCTCGAATAGAGCCTGATTTATTAACGACCCATCAACGGTAAAAGAAGCGCTAATTTGGGCGTAGCCCATAAGTAGTGTCTGGGAATTATTTTTGCCATGTTTCCCAACGGGTTCCATGTTGGAATGATGCCGTCTATGCCGGATCGGCAGTTGGGGTTTATTTGTATACGTCACATATTCTGACTCAAGTGTCTCGGTTGAATTGTTGCTCAAGGAATAGAACTCTCCACTACTGCGAGTGCTCCCGTTCATGCTAGAAGCGGAAAGTATCTTCATAGCAGGAGTTAAGCGAGTAGGCAGCTCTAGTGTAGGAACATCCTTCGTGTTCAAGGTGGGTGGAGTGATGGAGACAGGGGAAGTATTTTTGCTCGACAGGGTATCACTGGGTGTGGGGGGAGCCTGCGGAAACTTAAAATCAGTTCGTAAGGCAGGCGGAGGGCGCCCTGAATCCCGCTGAATCTGATTTGGTATTTCTGATTGAGGATGTGTAGGCAGCTGAGTTCGGTCCGGAAAGCTTCTTCGACTGGGTAATGGCAAGTTTGGTATCGAATCGTTCCGCGCAGGACTGTAGTTTAAAGGGCGAGAAGCTAAAGAATGTTGTTAGAACAGAGCTGAGTTTCTCTGTATATTAAAAGAAGAAAATTACCAGGATTAGGGTTCTCTCCATATAGCTCATTCTTCTTTGAAAATACTTGAAAGCTTGCAGATCTAGAATGGGCCCTCCCCATCCTTTGGTTAACAGTGGGCGATCCTTGCTTTTCGGGATCTAGGGATATGATAGAAACAGATCTCTTGTGTCTGTGGCCCGGAATTTGGATCCCATTGTGATTCGCGGTAATCGGCGGGAAACTGTGGCTTAGGGAGAGCGGGGAGCTCATAGACGCTGCGCTCCGATGAGATCTGTCGAAACCAGATTGTCGATTCCGAGGGCTTGAGGTTGCCGAACGTCGATTATTGAAAGAGAATGGGTTCAGGGATTTCGCAGGCGAATAATTTCCTCCATTGACCACTCCATTCATAGGACGCGAGCCCCGTCTCGCGTGCTTCTGGGAAGCAGCACTAAGATCCGAACTGGAGCCGCTGGGGGCAACATTCTTGAAGGTAATGGTGCATTCGACATCCTCCCCAGCGAAAATAGTTTGCTCTTTCCATCGCACGAACACCTGTATGTCTGACTGCATGACGAGGGCGGAATATCTCACCACATCGGTGGGTGGTTAATTGAGGTCCACCGCGCGGGTCGGAAATGGGAGTTGACAGTTGTCGGAAACTAATCGAGGAGAAGGCTGGAGCAAAGCTACGAGCGGGGGCATGCTGTCGCAGCGGACAATGGAAAACAACTCAATCATGCGTAAAGGGACATCACAAGATCCACAGGTCAGAACTGATTGTCAATAGTTAACGTCATAACACACGTAAGAAGGGTGCCGGGGACGACTTGAACGTTGTAACTTCGCGGTAAAGATTGTAGGAACAACCTAGCAGGTGGGAAGCTGTGGCTGGAGTGCTTAGCGGCGGCTGAATAGCTTTATATTACACGCCACCTTGAACTCTGTCATTTGAGAACGTAAATTACAGCATTGGAATAGTAATCGTATCGTATCGTATCGTATCGTATCGTATCGTATCGTAAAACTATGCCTCAGGCTTATTTTAGTATCCTGAGCTTCGGGAATAACTAAGGCTTTCAATCGAGAATATCAATCAGGAACCCCCATAATGAGTTCTATAGACGAGTCATTTAAAGTCCTTTGATTCCAGCATTCTAGATATAGATACCATTACTTCGAGCTAGGCTCGACGCTTCTTCTCAAGAACCTGAGTATCGGAAACATCAGCAAAACTTGACCTGTGCGGTCGAACGCCAATTTCCGACAACTGATTCCAAATTCTTTTATGTCGTTTTTCCCAACGTTCCCGCCGTTCTGCAGCAATCTCCGGGCTTGGCCGCCATTTGCTTTTCAGGATGCGCCGGATTGCTTCCGGAGACACCTTGTATTCTTGCGCGAGGGCCGGAGTCGAATATGTGGCAGGGTCCTGTTGATGTAAATGTCGGATGGTATCGAGGGTATCTGGGTGAAGGCGTTTTCGTGGATTCCACCCCTCCGGGAACTTCTTCTTTAAAGCTCTTTTCTGTATTTGCCAGGGCTCCAGCTCCCGGGGGTTGTCGGAATTTTCTCGTTTTTGCGTTGCAGATTTCGAGCTGCAAGGGATTTTTGACTTTGGATCATGCTTTAGAATGGCACGGGAGGCTTTGGTGGTCGATTTAGAATTGAGGTTTTTATCTCTTTGATCGGAGTTGGGCCTACGTTCGTCAGTTCGATGTGGCTGGTCGGTGGCCGAAGAGCAGCTGGGTGATAGCTCAAGAGTCTCTGATGATTGTGAAAGTATTGGGAAATAATTGCTAAATGAGCGAAAGGAAGCAGGTTGCCAAATTTTGGTCGTACATTGTCGACAGGAGGTGGTCAAGCTATTTTTTCTGTAGTATGTTGTAGGAAGCAGAGGGCGGATACCCAGGAAGCTTCTTAGCAACCCTGATATGACAAATGCAGAGGGCAATGAGGTTGGCTTCGCCATCGAAACGAAGATTGTGGTGCCTCGCACTCCTTTGCAATCCTGTAAATTTGTAGCAAAATGAAGCGACTCCTTTCAGTGCTATTGACTTTGCGGGACAAAGCACGTGATGCGTATTTGGGACTGAACATTACCGCTAGATTAAAAGGAGTTGGGTTCATCAACTTTGCGTATAATTCCCCGCAAACAGCAGGCCATGAGATTTTCAACTGTTTCTGCGCTGCCAACTTTTATTTTGGCAGTGTCATCAAATGGACAAGGTCACTATGTTGCGATTTGTCAGACAAAGCAATAATGCTCTTTTTATGCTGAATGAGACTCAGTAAGATGCTGGGCAATCTAACACAAACTTATAGATTTTATTTCTCCTAGCAGTATCACATTGGAATTTAGATGGTTTACATTAGCGAAACAAGAACGACACCACCTTGAGACGAGTTTGGTTGATATTGAAACAAAGCTTATTGGCATCCCATTTGGCCATTTCGGCAATATTTAAAATAAGAATGATGTCCCATCAAACCTTCAACAAAATCTCTATGTAGAGAGCGCGGATCCAGCCATGTCATCCGAAGATCAGCGATTTTGTATTGGCCCAACGGCCGATTATATGTTCTGGTACGGCAGACTTGCTAACTTAGAGAGTAGAACGCGGCCCTTGTAATACTATCCCCAGTTAGCCTCCTCCCTCTACCCTAGTTGGCTAAACGACAAAGCTGACCAGTTGCTTTCAAGAGAAATCTCCGAAGGACTATCTGGTTTCTATAAAAAAAAAGGAATCTGCGTGGACGAGAAGATATGGCAAACCTCATCCTGTCCGATTTCCGCATGTGGTCAATTTTGAAGGCATAAATTCGCTGGACAACCACCTCGGACTTCTCAACTAGTATATATGGCTGTTGCCCCGTGTCTACTGGGAGGTGACTCCCACTGTGAATTTAACGGCCCTACTTTGCGCCACCCAGTTAAAGAAAACCCATCCACATTGCCAGAACCAGCAGTATTGATGATGCTCAGATCTCACACCCGGGAATATATTTGTCCGGAAACACACAAGATTTCCTGCATCATAGACTTGCAACATGCTCTGATACCCCAGAGGAGGAGCGATGTGTTTCAGGAGCAGTGACCATTTCAGGATCATGAAGAAGATGTTGACTGATACTCCAGACCGTGACAATGTTGCCATACGACTCTAACAACTATGAATGCGATATGGATAGCCCAGCAAGAGGTGTGAAACTTGATCGTTGATATAACTAGATCGCACCAGCTTTTCGCATTAAGGAGTATTTATTGTCCACATCCCTAACATATACATATACTTAGGGTTTTTATAACTTAGATAAGTCTACTCACGAATCTAGCCAGCCCTCGGCGCCAAAGAGCAATCAATTTGCACCAATCATTCCTGTTCATCAGCTCCAGCCTTAAACTCATCCTCGTACACACCGACTGAAACTCGCCTCGCCAGAAACTCAACCTGTTCATGGACGTAATTCCTCGTTTGCTCATTAACGCCAGGAGTATCACCCTCACCTAGCATTCTTGGGCTCGACTCAAACGGGTACATGCTTACGCTCTCGTCGCCAGCCTGGGTGCTGGCGAAACTGCTTCGTTGGCCAATGGAGCGACTGGTTGAGGATCGGCGGAGCATTTGGGATTTGGAGGGCCGAGGCTTTGAAAAACGGGATAATATATCGTCGAAGTAATGTGATGCGGCGGTAACTGGAGTTCGTGGAGTATGTGGAAGGCGGCAGGTAATTCTGTTCATGAATTAAGTTGTCAGCAGGTAATCGCCCAATCTACAGGCCCTATTTGCCCATATCTTAATTACATACCCGGTATCATGTATCATTTTTGCGATCAGGCCAGTCCAACCGCACTGATGAGAAGCCCCAAGGCCTCGACCAGTATCCGCATCAAAAAATTCATGAAACCAGAGATAATCCTTCCAGTGGGGGTCAAAATCAAGGATATTGTTTCCACCATTGACAGCTCTTCGATCATCATCACCCCTGACAAAGAGATGCTGCAAACGGTGTTGGATTTCTTCAGCCACCTGACCCAAGTTCATATAGTCTCCAGAGCCAGTTGGACATTCAATTCGGAATGAATCCCCATAAAACATATGAAACCTCAGAAGCGACTCGATCAGCAAAAAATTGACACAGAGCCAGATTGGTCCTCTCCAATTGCTATTGCCGCCAAAGAGTCCGCTGTCGGAGTCACCTGGTACATATCCTACTTTGAATTCTTGGCCATTCACTTCCATTGAATAGGGGTGTTTGGAATGATATTTCGACATGGAGCGTATCCCATGGTCTGCAAGGAATTCGGTCTCGTCAAGCATTCGTTTGAGGATCTTCTCCAACCTCTCTTTGCTCACCAGAGAGAGAAGACGTCTGTCGTCCTTACCGCGGCGCTTCATACTAGCTATGTTACGTTCAGCGACGTCGAATTTGTTATCAATAAACCAATTCATTCGTCGCTTGAAATCAGGAAACTTGTTGATAAGCTCTGGTTCCAGGGTAAGCACAGCATATAGTGGTATTAATCCCACAAGGGATCGGACAGGTAATTGATGGCTCCACGGGCCCCCATAAGAAATTGCATCGTAATAGAACCTAGATACAATTAATGAATATGTCGCCAAATGAATCGTCTATAGAACTTAAAAGGCTTACCCATCCTCTTCGTTCCATAAAGACGATTGTTCGTTTCCAACCCTGAAAGTCATCGCGTCGCTGATCAGGATAAAGTGCTCGAAAAATTTTGAAGCAACTGACCATCGTTAGAACAAATTGAACGTGAAAGCTTGGTGTGAATGTCTTACTGTCTTCATATATCCTTCGGTGCTTTGCCAATTCCAGTGCGATGTTAAGCATCGAGAGAGAGTAAAATGCCATCCATCCAGTGCTGTCAGCCTGTTCGAGGACACCGCCTGTTGGTAACGGTTCCGACCTATTGAAAAGACCAATATTGTCCAAGCCTAGGAAACCGCCCTCGAAAATATTTTTGCCGTCGAAATCTTTTCTGTTAACCCACCATGTAAAATTCATGAGCAACTTTTGGAACACCCTTTCCAGGAAATCCAGGTCCTGTCGACCATACATTTTTCTTTCAATTTTAAAAATTCGGAAAACTGCCCAAGCGTGTACGGGAGGGTTGACATCGCCAAAGTTCCATTCGTAGGCCGGAATCTGTCCATTAGGGTGCATGTACCATTCTCTAGTAAGGAGGTCAAGCTGTTTCTTAGAAAACTCGGGATCCACCATAGCAAGGGGAATGCAATGAAAAGCAGTGTCCCACGCAGCGAAGAAAGGGTACTCCCATGAATCAGGCATGGACAAAACATCATCGATATGCAAGTGCTTCCACTTCTGATTGCGAATTGCTTTTCTTTCCGACGGAGGCGGCGGCAACCCTGGGTCACCTTCTGCCCACTGGTCCCATATGAATTGATAATGCTGTTTTGTCCACATCATCCCAGAAAGAGCTTGTCGCTGAATGTTCCTCAAATCATCCGCCATCGGCAAAGGGCTGATGCGGTAGTAAAAGTCGTCGGCTTCTTCAACGCGCTTTTCGATAATATTATCCAAAACCTCCTCATCCACATAGAGATCATTCCTTTTGGATATGCGGAATCGAACAACAGCGCATTCCCCAGGAGGGACGCCATCTCCTTCATCGAAAGCATACCATGCCGCAAACTTGGTGCCCTGACACTCTGGATTAATGGCTTCCTTCTCTTCGTCAACAATATACCTATGAAAGGCATCCTTAACATATGGCTGCTCGTTGTCTGTACCATACAGAAATTTGGCATTGCTTTCGTTTTCAGTGAATAGAGAACGAGGCACGACATTCTCTTTCGCGCTATCGGCAGTAGAGGGGTGATGGTGATAGTTGGACATATCGAGTACCTATCTTGCAGTGGTCTGACTGGACAGTTAATGGGCCAATTTTTTTGAGTGACGGTTTTTTTCCATTCTCGCGGCCCCATGCCCATGTGTTCCTGAACCAAACGTGCGGGATGATGTGTAACGGAGCGGGTTCCGGGCCCCGGTTGTACGCGATGACACGAAAGAGCAATTCATCTTCATCCTCCTTTGCTGTTTCAATAAAGATGTCCCAGTAGCGATTATCTTCAAAAATTCCTGTGTCAAGAATCTGGTACTCCCTATCCTGTTTCCCACGCCTTGCATTTTCTTCCACAAGATCTTGATAAGGGAATTTCTTTTGTGGATATTTGTACAAATATTTCATGTATGAATGCTGTATTCCGTAGTTAATTAGCTATTAGATTATGCAAAATCACAAAAATAACCATTGGCTTACTGTTGGAGTATTATCCAAGTGGAAATGAGCTTCTTTGATGCTTTCGCCATGGTTTCCTTGTGGGTTAGATAGTCCAAAAAGCCGCTCTTTGAGAAAATCACTACTCAAATTTTAGTAGTTTTTCAGCCAGAGCAAGGGTTCCCAGGTACTCCCTACTCTTTCTCATTCCAGAAGGCAAAGGCTATATTCTGGAGACCGTGGGTATCTGATACTCCGGCAATTCCGTCCTCTCCCCAACGGTATGTTCTCGATCTAGCATGATCATGAGGGAAGTCTTGAATTTGGATAAACTGTAAGTCAATGCTGCATTCTGTGTATGATATTCAAAACCTACAACGCCATGCATCTCCGTCCGCGCTGTGAGGTTTTGCTGGTCAGACCAGGAATAGTTTCTTGCATCTTGCATACCGGGCAGGACACTCACGAATAGTCCTCACGGACTGAGCCGTTCAAATTGTTAGCTGCGAATTTCGTCGCGAACTCCGGATGTACCAACTAACCTGTTGCCCACTGTCTTTCTGCGACATATGGTCCCCATTTTTTCCAGTATTTTATTCGCTTCCGATCCTCATGTAGTCGTTTCTCTTCCTCACAACGGTATTGGGAGTCGTCCATGAAAGCCAAAGGTCTCAAATAATATCTAAACAGGGGCCGAAGAACCAATTGTGGGAGATCTTCCCGCCCAGCAGTGTTAGTTACGCCAGTCTAATACTGTAAAAGTTGGGCCTCGTTCTCTTCCACAAAGCCCAACTTACGGCAAAACCCAGAATGCAGCAATGACGTTGTTAAGTTGAATCGCTAGGGACTCTCGCTGCGCACCGTTGAATGAGTGGCGATGAATCTTGAGAACTTAGACAGTGAATAAATCAGCGATAATCGCCTGATACGGAATATGGCGCGCCAATTCAGCCATTCAAATTAAAACCTACAAAGTAAAATATTTCCTCTCGATATGGGATCTTGGTGCGGGGCAGGGAACATAAATTTTCCGCCATCGAACCCTGGAAATTTATCGGAGACTCAGACTCCTGAGAAAAATCACACCGTACGGCAAAGCGCCTTTACCAGCCGGAAATCTTCCTGATGCTCACATCTCGCAATGTCGGCGTCCTTGGTGGCGGCCAATTGGGCAGAATGCTCATGGAGGCCGCAAACCGCCTGAATATACAGATGACCGTCCTGGATGTTGATAATGCCCCCGCAAAACAAATCAGCGCCCACCACGGCCATATTACCGGCTCCTTTTCTGACCGTACTTCAGTAAGCAGGTTAGCAGGCTCATGCGACGTCATTACTGCAGAAATTGAACATGTGGATACCTATGCGCTTGAGGAAGTGGAAGGGCAAGTCGAAGTCCAACCTAGTTGGCAAAGCATTCGAATTATCCAGGATAAATTTGCGCAGAAAGAGCATTTGTCCCGCTATGCAATCCCAATGGCAGAGTATAGGGAACTGAAATCCAATACCGTTGAGGAGTTGGAAGCAATTGGAGAAGAGCTTGGTTATCCACTTATGCTTAAGTCTAAAACACTGGCTTACGACGGACGTGGTAAGATCTTTTATTACGCCTTCTTTACTCATTTCTTGCCATGGCACTATCTAATTGATGTTATAAATTTTTTAGGAAATTATACTGTTAACTCAAAAGCATCAATCCCGGCGGCCTTCGATGCTCTAAAAGACCGACCCCTCTACGCCGAGAAATGGGCGAGCTTCAAAATGGTATGCGACTTCAACTGTCTTATGAACAGCAAGGGCCCCATTTCTGACACTGCAATAGGAACTGGCTGTCATGGTTGTTAAAACGAAAGACGGCGTTCTATCCTACCCAACCGTCGAAACCGTCCAAGAAGATTCAATATGCAAGCTCGTATATGCCCCATCCAGGGGTGTCTCAGAAACAATTGACAAGAAAGCCCAGGAGCTAGCAAGAAACGCAGTCACAGCATTTGAAGGAAATGGCGTATTTGGCGTCGAAATGTTCCTCTTGGAAGATGATTCCCTGCTGCTATGTGAACTTGCCAGTCGCATTCATAACTCCGGCCACTACACCATCGAAGCTTGCCCCATGTCCCAGTTCGAAGCACATTTACGAGCCATTCTTAACCTCCCCATACCTCAACAAAGCCTCCAAATCCGCCAACCAGCAATCATGGTAAACATCCTTGGAGGCTCAACGCCAGACTCACATCTCAAAGTCGCTGAGCGAGCCCTCTCAATACCAAATGCTAGCATTCATCTCTATAGCAAGGGTGCTGCGCGCCCAGGGCGGAAAATGGGACACGTTACCATCACTGCACGTACAATGAACGAAGCAGAGTCTCTTGTCCAACCGCTGCTCGGCCCCACAGATGCCATCGTCGCCACACTTAAATCACCTATCCTTTTCCATCCACCCAGACCGACCAGTGCTCGACGTAGACCCACCATTGGTGTAGTGATGGGGTCCGATAGCGATCTCAAAACGCTAATACCCGGCCTCAACCTTCTAAAATACACTTTCGGCATCGAGCCTGAAGTTGACATTACTTCCGCTCACCGCACGCCTGAATACATGGCTGAGTACGCCTCTACCGCTGCCTCGCGGGGTATCAAGGTCATAATCGCCGCGGCTGGGGGTGCAGCGCATCTCCCCGGCATGGCAGCTGCCCACACCTCACTGCCCGTTATCGGAGTGCCGGTAAAGGGGAGCTCGTTGGACGGTGTTGATAGTCTGTACAGTATCGTGCAAATGCCAAGAGGCGTCCCCGTTGCTGCTGTGGGGATTAATAACAGCATAAATGCGGCGCTTCTGGCGGCGCGGATACTGGGTGCTTTTGATGAGCAGCTACGGAGAAAGGTAGAGGAGTATGCAAAAATTGCTAAGGTGGAGAATTTGGATGTGAAAGGGGCAAAGATGAGGGAGATTGGATGGGAGAAGTACTTTGAGCAAATGTCGAAATAAAATGAAAATTTGTGAAATGACGTAATTTATTTTCCTGTTGATTTCGCATGCTAAAGATAGAATGGCTGGCGATCGATGGTATAGACAAAATGAAGACTTCTCACCCTAGGTATCAGACCCCTCAAGCCGTTGATTCATGCTCACAGAATCAGATCAAGACGGCATAGTAAGATTAATTCATACATTATTTATTTAAAATTATGTAGCAAGAGTGGCGCATCGGGCAGCACAGCATGCAACAGCGAGGTTCGCGAATGCGAGGAGGATAAAGTGGTATCTATGAAACATGATCTACAGAATTGCGAACACAATATTTAATGAAAATATAATAGGTCTAACATGGAGGAGGAAAGAGAATGCTAAAAGTCCTATATGCAGTATACTGAATGAGTCACTATTGTTGAATTATTATATATTTCATCTCCATACTTTCCAAAAATATGTATATTTTGCTAATGGGGATGTATACTATCAAACTATCCCACTACGTTAAATGAGATATTTCCCATTAGCACCAATGGGTTCGGTTCGTAATAACGATATGCGCATGCTCATGCGTGGTCAAAAGTATATCGCTTCCAACTCGGCTTGACGGGTCGTGCATAAGAGGCGAATGATCGAAACATGGTCCGATTGAAGGCCCCGATCCAGCTCCTTCACCTCTTCACATCGGAGACCGAAGATCGGAGAATACGCAATACACCCAGGCATGCGATCCTTCAAATTTCGTTATTTGTCCCTGAAGTAGGGCCTTGTGTCTCAGAATTGTACTCCTACCTCTTAATAGGATCAAAGTCAGGCCTGAATCGCTTTTTGAAGACTACTTCTGAAGGGCAGCTATGTCTCCCTTCCTATGGCTTCTGCTCTGTGCAACTTCGGCTCTGATCAATCAGCTGCTTCCATTTCGACCCCAGCTTATATACAGAAGAATTAATAGATAATATTGAGAGAGAGAATAAATCAGCTATGCAGCAGCAGATAGCCCGCATGGAGTGCGAGATAAAATGCTTTAGCTATAAAAAAGTAAAGTCAAAGGGAGACATTAAAAGCTAGGGACATTGAAAGAAATAGAGCGAAAAGTGGTGGAAGCGGCTGTCTGTGGAATTATTGAGCGACAGAAATTGGGCCATTGGGAGGGGAAAGGGGAGGAAGGGTAATATTAAAAAGGGTCGTATAAAAATGAAAGCAGCAATGAGAAAGGGTGAATGAATGAAATGGTGGGGTATTCAATGAAATTATTAAAATGACTGGAATGGGTTCAAATAGCACTAAAAAGGAAAAGACACTAAAAAGGAAAAGAGGGAAAACAAGCATAAAAAATTTGAGATGAGCCTTCAACGAGGGGATGGATGGGGGTATATGGAGGTAGGTACTGTAATCTATGTGTGTGTATGAACGACGCATCGTGAGGCATTGGTTGTTAAATAAAGGAAAGAAAATAAAAGAAGCTAGGGGGAAAAGTAAAAGGCTCAAGAGAAGGAGAGAGAAAGGAATGAGGTATCAGAAATGGAAGCAGATATTGTATCCTGTCATATCTTTATGCAAGCTGTTGTGAGAAAAGGAGGACAAAAACGGGGGGGTTAGTCTGCATGTTTTTGGCAATCAAAGAGAGTGAGGAATTTCTTAATTCTTATGGAGGCTAAGAGCCGCAGGCTCCAGTATTCCTTGACTTGCTGCAGTGGGAGTCTTTAGACAGAGAAGCAAGAAACAGACGTGACAAACAAATGAAGAGGGTCCCTTTCTCGTTCACACTGTTTCTATTACGAATTTCGATCCATGTCACTGTCCTTCTCTTTTGACTCGCTTCTGGTGAGACCGTCGTCGCGCTTAGCGCTACTATCGGCATCGCTGGACGTAGTTGCTGAAGTCGAACCATCCGTGAACCCTTTGTCCGATTGGTCTGATATAGGAGATGATAAGAGCTACTGACCATGTCTTTCCTCCGCATCCTGGCCGGATGTTATTGTCTCTGCCATGTCACCTTCCGGTTGGTCAGGGCAACTTTCCGTACTATTGGAAGGTTGTTCCTCCGGGGAAACGGAACGGGAACTTGTTTCTCTCAGGCGCATTTCAGCCTCCCTGATTCTTGCTTCCAGAGCCTCCAGCTCGCGGTTTTGAATCGTGACCATTTGTTGCCTGGAGAAGCACAAGAAAAAAATACATTATCAGTAAATGTGGAGAGCAATGTGGAGAGCAAAGAACTCGTGGAATAGGCGTGGCTGCCATAATGTAGTGGATGTATTTGAGTATTTGAGTGTTGATTCTTATTGTAGAGTCGCCATGATATCATTTGCAGACAGCTAGAGAGCCGATTGAATTGATTGGATGTTGATATGCGTACTTATAGTGGACAGATTGTGTCAGGCTGTCAACCTCATTATCCAGCATGAAGGCGTTATCAAGGGCAGCAGCAAGGGAACGGGCCATGGTCCTGCATTGAACTGGTCAACGAAGCCTTGTAAGCAGAAATTCGAAGAGGAGGTAGTACGAACGACTGAGGCCGTCCGGTAGGCTTCCATTCTTCTTCTATGTCCGACATGTTTGTAGCGAATGTGGTTGGCAAGGCGGTCGCTGGAGGTACACAGCGTGGAGATTTGTATACGGAGCTTGGAAATCGAAGAAATGTAGATAGACACGGAGAGAATTGAGGGAGTGGTAGATGAGACCAGAGCCAGCTGAGAGTCCAGGCGAGTAATCTGTGTTTTAAAACATGGAGGGGGGATGGATAGGATGGTGGGAGGCGCGGGAGGTGAGAGGCGAGGTGAGTTCCTGTGAGTTAAATTAAAGTTGTTAGAGACGCGAGACCTCCCCTGGGCCCAATTCTAATCTTGGACTAATCATGGAGGAGAGAGGCGTGACAGGCTCGGAGCCACAGCCAGCAGCCTGTAGGGATATTAAGCAAACGCTAGTGTACCTGCGCTCGGGGACCCTCACGGAGCAAACGCCACTATCGACTTGGACTTTGGATTGTGTGGCCCGTGTGGGCTTCCAGGCAGTGCTCGTGCTCCCCTCTCTTACACTCTGGCAGGCTGACCAGACTCGTCCAACAGGGGATAGGGGGGAGTGGAGAGGAGGGAAAATTTGAATAACAGAGCCAAAGGGAGCGGAAGGCGAAACCGGGGGAGGCAAGGTTAAAAAAAGGAACACGGAACCAGCGAGTCTGGCATATCCTTTGCTATTCCCTGCTCTCGTGTTTGTTTGTTGACCTGCCCCTGAAACATGGGGATGACTCAGAATGTGTCCCGTGACTGGCTGTGTTTTCACGTGACAATGCCGCATCCAAAGTCCCGTTGTCTCCCATCGTCATGAGCTCGACCCGTAGCATCCAAGAAACGCCGATTCCATCTATTTTCCATCACCAGGTTCTTCGAGGAGACTCAGTTGCCTTCGTCACGCCGCAAGTTCCCTGCTCAGTCGACACCCCAGCGTGGATGTGGTTGTGGAAGACATCGTGATGGTCTGAAAGTGCCCACCCTTCATATCTCAGAAAACTCCACCCCAAACCGCGGACTACTCCCACCGTGGCTACCACCGTTGAGGACAACAACGCCCTGTCTGGTCGACCTGACTGGCAATGGGGGATGCCGTCGTTGTCATCCTACACTCCTTTTGAATCGCTACTCTTTTTCCAGTTCCTCAGCACCCTTGAATCCCGGCCATCCAACTTCTCGCCTATATCAGAGCTTCTGACCAATAACTCGTTCGTCCGCCAAAATGCGACCTTCGACAAGGACAGACTGACCCCTCAGGCCCTAGAGGCGCTTTATACAAAATTAGTACAAGAAGAGCTGCAAAACAGAGAGGGAACCCAGTCGGGACACGGTTCCAATGGATATAACTCGGATGCGGCGAACTCGAATCCGAAGAAAAGGAAGATACAGGATCAGTCGTCCAAACTCGTGCTTGATGGCGCTTCCTATTCTGTGGTGATTCCTACCCTTGTCGCTCGTTTATATGCCAGGTACAAGGAACGCGTGACACGGGAGATTGAAGACGAAGAACATAAATACGCCAGAATCAAAGAGGAAATCAAGAGGCTGGAGGATGGGGAACAACTTCAAAACACCTTTTCGAAAATAGACGACCCATTGACGACGTCTGAAATAGATAAAAAATCCCCACAGACAAAACCTTTATCGCCACAACCCGTGACGGTTTCTCCTAGTGTCAATGTAGTCCGAGGCCAGGGAACTGCCCTTGAGGAGGTGCAGGCTCTTCAGACCCCAGAGAATCCACCACCCGTTTTGGCAAAAGGGCAGGCAGCTGTTCAGCAAGCCCCACAAGCCGAAGGTAAAAACGCAAATGCATCACACCCCTCGCCGCTACACTCCCAATCGCAACAGTGGCACGAAAGTGGTCCACATGCTATCCTTCAAAGTATCCCAGTTCTTTCCCCTGCCCCAAGCCTGGGAAATGTAACTGCTTCCATAACTCCCTCTCAGGATCAAATCTCGGACCGTGGCTTGCAATACGTCACGTCTAAGGCAGGTCAATCCGGGGTGAAAACTCCAACAATTCCTCATGTAGGAACTGGGCGAGTGGCAGGTCAAGTCTTTACCTCAACCACACCCGCTGCTTCTCAAGCCTCACAACCGCCATTACAGCCTATGCCCACTGCTACAAGTGGGCCGCAACAACAGCGTACCTCCTTCCAACCTGCTCAATATTCCCCTCCCCAGGCTCAAATGACACTGGCGCCTCCAAGCGCAAATTACCAACAGCCTTGGTCCCCACAACTAAGCCCATCATCCCGGCATACGCAGTTGTCTCCCAATACCAACATGCCATCCTCAAACAGCCACCTTATGGGCAAGTCTCCACTGTCACTTGGCCATGTCCAGCTAAACGTGGGCAAAACCCTCCAAAATCCGTCTACGCCTTCACATCAACCATCGCGGGCAGGAGAGCTTGAGTCACCTCAGCAGATAGAAAATGACGCTAGAGTTAAGGCAACCTCGATGGAGCCGCTTCCGGCAACACCAGTTAGTGGCCCTGACGGACTGAATAGCGTCACTCCTTCATTTTCAGCAGCCTTAAACAAGAGACCGCCTAGGTTGTCCGTGGACTCTTCTGGTTCGCTCACGCCTTGGAAAATGCCAAGTCCGATTGTCATATCCAAGTCGCCTGGGTCTCCATTACGGCCTCGACCGGAGGATGTGAGCCCCATCAGTGAACGGGCACCGTCACCAACGTTTGAGAGCGAAACGCCATCGATATCCAAAATTCACTCCGAACCCCGAGCTGTGCATGTAGACGTCGACTCCGGCCCGGCATGGAACACTCGCCAGAAGAAATCTACGCCAGCACGTAGAGGCAGGGCCCATCCTAGTGCAGGATCTTCTCCCATACGCGTTACTCGAATCCGGAGCCGTAGTGCTCAATCCAACGTATCTCGTGACGATGAATCAATCACTGATTCTGGCTCTGTTTCTCAGCGAAAAATAAAGCGTGAAATACCGAGCACTCCTGCTGGAATCTCAGATGATACAGAAATGGAGCCACGGACATCGAGACGGCTCAAGGTCCCAAGCCAGATCCAAGCGGATGAAATCCAATCAAAGGGAAGAGGGAAAAGGAAGCGGGGGCCTAGTGAAGGGGAAGACATGACTCAACCACCTTCACGGCAAGCATCACAATATGTACAGTTTACCCGCAACTTCCCGCGAACATGTGCACCAATCATGAACGATGTCGCATCGCATAAGTACGCCTCCATATTTGCGAAGCCACTAACGGAGCGGGACGCCCCGGGTTATAAGAACCTTATTTACCGGCCCCAAGATATCAAGTCTATAAAATCCGCCATCCATCAGGGAAGCAAAGCAGTGGCAGCCGCCACAGAGGCTGTAAATACTCCAAGTGGAGAAAACGTCGAGTCTCCCGGCCCTCTCCAAGGACATGGCACCCCGTCGAGAACCAACGGCTTGTTACTAAAAAGAACCGCAGAGCTGATCCCTCCCAAGGGCATCGTCAATTCAGCGCAACTAGAGATGGAACTTGTTCGAATGTTCGCGAACGCGGTGATGTTTAACCCAACGCCGGACAAGACTTTTGGTTCATCTTTCCCGATGCAGAGCAATTGGACTTCTCGAGAGGGGTCACAGGTTTCGGATATGGATGAGGGCGGTATCATCAATGACACGCTGAAGATGTATGATGATGTGGAGAAGGCTGTATCCCGGTGGCGCGCGGCGGAGCGGGCTGTCGATGATGTTGGTGGTAAAAGTATGTTATCCCTGCGGAGGGGCAGTGCAAGTGATATTAATATGGACAGCGCGGATGAAGTGAAGTGAAACGACATTTGTAATGTAAATAATATTTAATATTCTTCTTTTGTTATTCTTTTCTCTTCCTGAGAACAGTGAATGAAGGTACCAAAAAAATGTTCTTGCTTAGAAAGGATCTTTTGTGAGGATGAGCTTAGTATCGTTCTGTAATGGATACGGGAGGGAGAGCTTCTGCCTCCTAAATGGAGGGATTTGCTTTTCTTTATATGATTAGCGACAAGCCTGTATTCTTGTACTGTACATTGGGCAATATGTTTGTCTAATAATAATCTTCAAACGGAGGTGTTTTCCCAAAGAGATTCATCCAAAAAATATAAACAAACCATATATCCCACCCACACAATCAAAAATCAAGCAGTACATTCCGCCGCCATCTCCGGCCTCGTCCTTCCCAATCCATCTTTCGCATAAAAGTCCATCGGATAGACCCCACCATTCCCCTCATCCCACCCCTGCCTGTCCCCAAGAGCCACAAGCGCTTCATAAGGTGACAACAACGGCCGCGAAAACACATATCCCCAATCAATGCTCAACCGCGGACACGCAATTTGCACCCAGCACTCCACATCGGACATCGACGCCAGCTTCCCCGGGAAAATCTCACTAAGCAGCAGATTCACGAACGGTATCCCGCGCTCGTGCAACACCTTCTCGATCCGGGCCATGGTGTGCGGGTTGCCCTGCCTGCCCAGGGAGCCTAGGATGATGCCCCATTTCCGCGCGGTTCTGGCGGTGGCTATCGCGTCGCGGCGCAAGGTGAGCATTTCGTCGTGGTTGTAGGATTCGCGGGAGAGGGTGCGCGAGTACGGGTCGTAGCGGTAGGCGGGGAGGGAAGGGTTGTGGATCATGGCGGATTCGAGGTGGAAGCGGCCGTCGCCGAGGTAGAGGAGGATGTCGACTTGGTCTGAGGGTAGTTTGGGGGAGGTACAGCCTAGGATCTCACCTTTGCTGAGCGGGGTGATCTGTGGGATGAGGATGGAGTAGCCGGCCTTTTCCAGGGTGGGCTTGAGTCCGTGGATGGTGGCGTTGAATTGGATTGTGCCGACGACTGCGATGGTTTTCCCACTCGGGAAGTTCCGCTCTAGCGTGGCGATTAGGTGCTGTGTATCGATGCTTATCTCGACAAAGATATATAGGGTTTTGATGGTGGTGACGTCGACAGGGATGAGGCAGCTGTGCGCGTAATGGACGAGTAAGTCACAGCCTAGAGCACGCGCCGTGTAATCGTCTATACAACAAGCGCCATATGTGACATCGCCCATAATTAGGGTTTCGATCCCAGGACAGAACTGGGTGAGGACATCAGATATTGTGGTTGCGAAGAGGAGGAGACCTTCGGGCATTTGGAGGGCAACTCTTTTTGCCCCTAAAGTTCTTATTCTGTGGATCGTTTTAGGGATTTCGAAGGAGTAGTTCTGCGGAAGAAGAGAAATTGCAGCTTTTATATCTTCATCTTCTAGGATTTCAATTGGGATTTGGTTTAAGGCTCGCGGAGCTCTCCGGGGCCGGGCTGTGAATAATGTTAGGGGGGGTTGTTTACCAACCCAAGCGCATGGCGGGCGATAAAGGACATACCTTGCTGAAGGGAAGTTGTGTCGGAAGTTTGAGAATCTCCATCCCTCTGGCTTTGCGCCTGAGCATCTGCGGTCTTGCGTCCCACGAACCTCTTCTTTGGCTGGCGTGCAGGATTCATGGTCTTATCGGTGGTAAGTTGATAGCAGTTTGTCCGTCGGCGGGGCTCTCTTGTCAGCCAGAACACAGAAATAAAAAATTATGAAAGCGGAGCATAAATGTATATAAGTCTACAAGTATCTAACTTCAAACTATGGGGCAGCTTTGAAGGATCCTCTAATATCTAATCTGCGATGTCTCTACCTAGGTAGACTGTATCGTGGGGAATTTCCTTACATGGTTTAGTGTTATCCTGATCAGGTTTAGCACAATGTTGCTGCTTTCTGAACTATATAATAAAGAGAAGAGAAGAGAAGAGACAGCGCGTTTATTCGCCCTGATCAGTGACTTTTTCATCAGAAGGTTGGAACAGACGATCTGGGATGAGCTCGCGGCCACAAAATCCCTGTTTGACTTCCACTCCCAATCCCCATATTAGATCTCTATCATTGAAACATTAATCCTAGCCGCGGGGCGGGAACGGTCCTACGCCATTTAAGACATTACCACGGATCAGAGCTTTTGGTCACTGGCAAGGTTGACTGGCGGAGGTATATTTTCAACCTCGATTTATACTATCGGCCAGTGTATCACCACACATGATTCGAGGCGGATTGATTCATGTTCTCTGAAAACTACTGTGTCAAGACGATGTCGTCCTTCAAATCTCCAACAAACAAAATATTCCTCGCCTCTAGCAAGGTCATGTGACATCTGTTCGCGCTTGTTTCCGGCGCGATTTTTACACTAAAGTCCAACAAAAGGTAGACGAGCATGTCAAGACGTCGCTGATACCTAGATATACTCTCATCAACTCTCTTTATATTGAGGGAAATGCACATTGTAGGCCGATCTTACAACGTAGCCATGATGTCACGCTTTAGTGTGTGGGGAAACTCCCTCCTGCAAAAACTATTATCCTCAAAGAATGTCTCCACCGTCCCATCTTTTGTTAGTCTGCCACGAGACACACTTATCGAGGAAGAGACTCTGCCTTACTATAAACCTGAGCAGTACTATGCGGTCAACATTGGGGACGTATATAATGCCAGATATCAGATCGCCGGAAAACTTGGTTATGGGGCTTACTCAACGAATTGGCTTTGTCAGGACCTTCAGTACGTTGCATTCCTGAATATACCATCCACTCCGGTAACCCTCCATTTAACAGGCCTCCTTTTTCAGGGACAATAAATATAGGGTATTGAAAGTGTCCACAATGATACCAGAATTTCCTACGGCAACTGAACGCGAGTTGAAGATTTACGAGCACTTGTCCCAGGTCGATTCTATTCATCCGGGTCAGTCGCTGATTCGCGAGCTCTATGATTCGTTTGACCTCCAAGGGTCTGCAGGGAAACACCACTGCCTAGTACTGCAATCAATGCACATGACACTTCTTGAAATGATGAGATTAAATCCAAGGCCGTTTGGTCTGCCCCTGCTCAAGTTGACTCTTAAACGACTTCTTTTGGCTCTTGACTTTTTGCATAATGAAGCTGGGATAATCCATACTGGTAAAACTCTACACTATATCTCCTGCAGAACAGAATCCATTGCTAACCGCAGTTTTCTAGACCTAAAAACGGACAATTTGATGCTCACTTTGGAAGACGACACCATGTTGGCGGACTTCGCAAAAGCAGAAGCCAAGGATCCTAGCCCTCAGAAGCAAGTTGACCGGTCCCGTACCATTTACAGGAGCCGGAGATTTCTCCGGCCTCTTAAGGGCAATAGCTACGGACTTCCCATTCTCTGTGATTTTGGGGAGGCGCGAATTGGTAAGACACAGGAGTCCGGCCCGTTTGTCCAACCCCATATCTACCGGGCGCCAGAGATTATCTTCGAAATGCCTTGGGGAAGCGCCGTCGATATTTGGAACGTAGCATGTTTGGTAACAAAAACGATTGCTGCGCTCTTTCCCTGGTCGTGTATACGACGCTTACGACTTAGTAGGTTTGGGACCTCTTTGAAGGCGAGCACTTGTTTGGAGACATATTCGATACTAAAGGCTCCCACGACCCTTTCAAACATATAGCGCGTATGGCTGCTCTAATAGGGCCACCACCGAGCGACTTTGTGAACCGTAGTGAGACAACAGACCAATGTTTTGACTCAAATGGTAAGCGCCCTATTTTCAAGTCGGCGGATTTTCATTGGTATTTGCCTGGTTTTGAACTGATGAACCCCTAGGCGCTTGGATTGCCCACAAGGATACAGCCATACCCTCAATCTCCCTGGAGAGCATAGAGAAGCGACTCTCTGGACAAGAAAAAGAATCATTTATTCAATTCCTCAAATCCATGCTCAAGTGGCTGCCAGAGGAACGCAAAACAGCGGCCCAATTACTTGAAGACCCATGGTTGCTCTGACCTGACGTTTCGGCCAAGGACTTTGCAAAACGATGACTACCAATCAACTTAATATAGGAATATCGTTTGAAGTCGATTTCTGACCCGTTGATTCTCCCTTTTACCGCCGATGCTGGCATCCCTGGAACGAATTATGATCCTTTGACACTAGTATGATATTTAAGCGCCCGATCTTTGCAGCGCCTACAATAGTGAACTGACTAGACTTCTATGTTTAGGATCGCAAATAACTTGCGCTTTACAAATGAAACACGCAATACATATATATATGGATGGGAATGGCTCCTCAACGGCACCAGCGAACTCAGGCCAAATCCCCATCGAGCTCCTTATAATGTAGAGGTGTTATTCAAGTTTACAAATTACCACCCGTCAACATTGGCCGTATCATCATGTCTCTTATCATTCGTCGTTTCATCAGCTACATTGGCAAAGTCAAATTAAGCAATTTCAAAAACTCGACGCATAGGACTCTTGTTACTGCCACGAACAGGAGGCACGAGTAAGTCAACATTCACTCCTCCCCCATGTCCGGACCAGGCTAATTTATGGTAGGATCCTCGCATCAAGCAAGCCTCTATCCAAGGAACGGAACTTCACAAATCGCACGATGATCCAGCGGGCCCGTTGCATGTTATCTCTATCAAGTTTTCCGATGAAAACGGAAAGAGGGTAGGGACTGGGCATGTTCATGAAGATGGGACTTCGAAGTTTCGGTATAAACAAAAGCCACCTGCCGAGTCTCCTTCATCTGGCTTCGAGTAGGGCTCTACAGTGGCTGACGGTGGCGGCAACGGGGAATCGAAAGGAGAAGCGGAGAGAGCCGGGGGCGGGTGTTGCTTGAGGGTGGGCACTCTACCACCAACTCTAGTGTAGAATGTGCAGTGGATCAGAGAAACTACTATGTTTCCTTAGAAACTCAGAAGGTGTTCCTTTCCCATATAACCTTCTGATTTTATATTTAGCCCTCCGACTATGGATTTATCAGATCAACCATCTCCTGTTCATCAACACAGCGCATCGCTATTGAATCTAATTTTATGGATTCGCACGCTACTGCTAAGAAGTGCATTGTGCTGCTATCTATCTTCATTCAATGAGACAAAATTTATATCTGTTACGTACCCTCAAAGCGGAATAGCAATACAAGGAAAAAAAGTGGTGAAAAGCCTTCTTTACTATAGAAGAAGCTTTGAGGAATGATAAAACTATTATATCAAATCACTAAATAAACCCGGGAATGAATATTATCGGCAACGTAAAATGCATGGTATTCTAATCTGACAATTATTTTTTTTGGCGGGACCGATGATGACATAATTCATCAAATAAAAGCTTTTTATTGGCCGAGCTTCCTTCCCCGCGCGGTAATTGGAAAGCAAACCATCAACAACTTCAATTTACTCCGTGATAGTAATAGACACTCCTTATCAGTGTTCAATAATGTTCTCCGCAAGATCTAGCTCTAGAATCTGCCAGGTATTCCGCCACCATAGACCAGCCCGCCTTTTTTCTGCGAAAACAAGCTTTGCCGGAGACCATGTTCGGATCGTCGAAGTCGGTCCCCGGGATGGGTTACAGAATGAGAAGAAAGCAATCCCTTTAACCACAAAATTGGACCTCATCGAAAGATTAGCGAAGACGGGATTGACCACGATTGAGGCCGGCTCGTTTGTTCCAGAGAAGTGGGTGCCACAGGTTCGTAGAATTGTCCGTATGCCTACCTACATTTTGAATTTACTCACTCATATCTTTCCACTCAATTGTAGATGGCTAGTACCCCAGAAATCCTATCATATCTTCTCAAAACGCCTCCCAAGTCATCTCACTCGATCGCATATAACTACCTAGTTCCCAATATCAAGGGGCTTCAAAATCTAGTTAACATAATGGACAATGACAGTCCACCAGCCTCTGAATCTTCCGACTCCAACACGCTTCCAAAGCCCACCACTGAGATTTCCCTGTTTGCCGCTGCAACAGAAGCATTCTCGAAAGCGAACACTAACTGCACTATTGAAGAGTCCCTCGAACGCATTCGGCCCATAGTAGCTCTTGCCAAGGAGAAAAATATTCGCGTGCGCGGATATGTATCCGTGGCGCTTGGATGCCCCTATGAAGGTCCTGATGTCTCTCCTCACAAGGTTGCTGAAATAACAGCTACTCTACTCGAAATGGGCGCAGACGAAGTTTCCGTCGCTGACACTACGGGAATGGGCACTGCACCTCGGACATTAAAATTGTTACAAACCCTTACCTCCGCTGGCATTGCCAATACGGATCTCGCGCTCCATTTCCACGACACGTATGGCCAAGCGCTCGTAAACACCATTGTGGGCCTGGAACATGGTATCCGCATTTTCGACAGCAGCGTGGGTGGGCTTGGAGGCTGTCCTTACTCGAAGGGGGCTACTGGAAATGTGTCCACGGAGGATCTCATTCACACTCTCCACAGTCTCGGAATGCGGACGGGAGTCAACCTGGAGGAAATTTCGAAAATTGGCGCCTGGATTAGTAACGAACTAGGCAGGTCGAATGATAGCAGAGCGGGGAAGGCCACTGTAGCTCGACTTCAGGGCTAACACAATATCTGGATTTATATCCACGGTTGCTCCCTTTCTTATTCTATCTTTTGAGCGCTTTGAGATTAGCCCTTTCATACTTCCTAGATACCTAGGCCAATGGATCATCAATCACGACTCCCGTCCCCAAACATCGGCTGTTTTTTATTTGGTGCCCCTATGCCTTCTCCTGGAGCCAAAACCTTATCGGCATGCGAGTGTGGAGCGGTAGTATTGTTTTCTTTTCTTCTGTTCTTCTGTTCTAGTTTTATTTTTCTCTCTTTTGCTCTTTGTCCTGGTGTTTTCACATATTGTAAATCTACTATGCATGTAAAGTTCGAATAGCAATTTCATTTGTTACCTACAGCGCCATGGCTGTATGCAAATTAGACACTCTATGAGCTATGAACAGACTAGTAAGCTTATTAGTTTCTCACCAATAGTGGCTATTCTCTATAGATAATTTAATATAAATATATAAATACAGACAAAGAGCAACAGAGGAAATCGTATATTGTACATGAATTTTTAAAACATGGATCTCAATCAGTTCCCATATCCTTAGAACATACTTCGAGATTCGATCGTGAAAATAGAGTACGAGGGAAAGGATCTCACCACGTCGTGGACCCGCGGAGGATAGTAAATTAGGGGAAACTTCGCGTTGAAGAGGTTCGAAATGTCTACGGAACGATGTCGGAGTGGAAGCTCATATTCGCTCGCGCGCAATTGGTTTTGATCTCGAACCTGCGGTAGCTGCGCGTTATACAACCAAGTTCCTCGGTAAAGGTTGCCTCTTGACACCAGTCCATCAGCATCTCAGCAACATATATAGCGAACAGCTGTCTCAAAGCGAGCTTCATAATCATCCAGAGCCTCGCCCGCTCGTTGGCTAAAAATTTTCTTAGGATCCCCGAGCATTGCCAACAAGCCAAAAGGCGATCATGGCCTGCCTTTCGTTTTATTTATATACGCGTCACTCATATTTTCTTCTATTCTCTTCTCTTTTCTGCTCTTTTTCTTTTTTCCAAGACGCATGTTCAAAAATCCGTAACCCTCCCATTAAAACTCCAATCTCCGCGCGCACCCCATTTCAACGGCTCGTTCTTCGGACCGCCAACCTCACCGGTCTTGGGGTTTGTCTCCCCTTCAAACTCCGGTTTTGCCCCACGGAAGAGATCTGGATGCAGCTCCTCGCCAGCACCGGTAGCCTCGATTCGTGGATTGGCTGTGGATGAATCTCTCGACTGGGGGGACTGATTGATTTCCAGAGCCGTTCGAGGGGTGCTGAAGGCGCCAGTTGATTGTTTTTGGAGGTTCTCGAAGATCTCTTGTTCTTCTTTAGGGAGTCTGGGTGGAGAGGGCGCATTTCCGAATTGGCTGTTAGCATTATTATCGCCTTTGGCTTGGACAGTGGTTGAGAAGGTTCGAGTGGCGAAGGAAGGGTCGTAGGGGTTGCGGAGAAGGGTGTGAGTAGGTCGGAGACACCGAAAGGTGGAGGGGAAAACCATGGTGCGCGCGGCTAATGGAACCATAGTAATTTGATCGTCAGACGCAGCAGTGATAGGGACAACGGATAACTAACAACTGCAATAATTATCAATAAAGAGTGAGATCATACTAGTATTCTGCTCCGGCGGTCAGAAGCTTTTTATGCTGACTTCGCGGGCCGAGGTGTAACTAACTCGGCGGAATATCTTTGATCCTATCAGATAAGATTTTCGATTTCCCCCAAAGAATTTATTTATTGGTTTGGTTTATTTCGCAGCTCCTCTCTCACAACCACCACCAATCGACCTTCAACCTGCGCCGGGTTGGCACGTAGAGTTGGACTGTGCAAATATCCGCATTGCCCAACTCGGTAATATGGCCCTCCGCTCCGCTGCACGCGGCATCCGGCCATGGGCTCGATCGCCTCGATCATTTACGGACTCTGAGTCACACCATCAATTGAGGTATGCGTCGACGAGGTCAGGGGCGGGGACGGCCCAGGTAATTCTATTTTGATATGTTTTTCCATTCTACAGAACATTGGGCTGACAGGCGTGTGGTAGAGTATGAACCAAACTGCGCATCAAATTGATCCAACGCTGGACTCTCCCTCCGCAGCTTTCGTAGCACAGCGAGCCCCTTTCATGGTCCCAACCTATGTGCGACCACCTCCCGTAATAGACTCAGGTAAAGGGTGTTATCTATGGGACATCGAGCAACGAAAATATCTAGACTTTACAGCTGGTATTGCCGTTACGTCTCTAGGCCATTCTGACCCCGGAGTGGCCGAGATCGTGTCACAACAAGTTAGTACATACCCTGATTGACACTCAAAACTGCGCTTAAAAGATTGACATATCTATCTAGTCCAGGATGTTGATCCATTCATCCAATCTTTTCCACAACAAATGGACGGGAACCCTCAGCCAGCTCCTTGTCACCTACACCGTTGAGTCTGGCGCCATGCGTGGCGCGAAGCAAGCATTCATCTGCAACTCCGGCACTGAAGCAAACGAAGCAGCCATCAAATTTTCCCGGAAGGTCGGTCACAGCCTCGACCCTTCCGGTGCCAAACACGAGTTCGTCTCTTTTTTCAATTCCTTCCACGGCCGCACCTACGGCGCTCTATCCGCCACCCCAAACCCCAAATACCAAGCCCCTTTCGCGCCCATGGTCCCCGGCTTCAAGTACGGCACATACAACGACATCGCCCAACTCCAAACCCTCATAACCGAGAAAACCTGCGGTGTCATCGTAGAGCCTATCCAGGGCGAAGGCGGTGTGCACACCGCGACACCTGAATTCCTCAGCGCCCTTCGTGCACGCTGCGACGAAGTCGGCGCCGTCCTCATCTTCGATGAAATCCAGTGCGGCCTTTCCCGCACCGGCTCCCTTTGGGCGCACGCTCACCCCACCCTCGAACCAAAGGATGACTCACCCGCCGCCCATCCGGATATCCTCACTACAGCCAAGGCGCTCGGCAACGGCATCCCCATCGGTGCCACCATCATCTCCGATAAAGTCAGTCAGCACATCAGAGTAGGCGACCACGGCACAACGTTCGGCGGGAACCCGTTTGCCTGTCGCATAGGACAGCACGTGCTCACCCGCCTGGCGTCGAGCGCTTTACAGTCTTCCGTACGCTCGCGCTCCACGACATTCCGGTCAGGACTCGAGCATTTGCGGAAACGATTCCCAGATGCTGTTGAGGATATTCGTGGGTGCGGGTTGTTGCTGGGGTTGCAGCTTACAGAGAAATATAAGGGAATTGTAGGAGACATCACGAATGAGGCTAGGGAGAGGGGATTGCTTGTCATTACGGCTGGTGACGGATGTTTGAGATTTGTGCCGCCGCTGATTATCACAGATGAGGAAATTAGGGAAGGGTTGTCTATCTTGGGAGAAGCGATGGAGCATGTATTTGCCCGGACTGCTTGAAGGGGGTGTTTTCCTTTTTTCATTTTTTCGGGATACACAAGAAGGGCTCTTCTATTGTTTGTTTTAAAACTATATAGACTCTTGGGCTAGTTATTTTTTTTAATATTCTCTCCCCTTCTCGCGTGCCTACTTCCTATCTTCCTGTTGAGTCGTATCAGAGCCATCTACTATATCATCCAATGGTTTCTAATAGTACGGGGCAATTCCAGGCTTGAATTGGCCTGGATGGCAGCCCGTTGACATCCTAAAGGCCTACGGCACCACGTACAGAATTACACTTGCTGTGGTAGTTGAGACTTTACCTAGAAATATTTACATTGTGACATTAAAACTAGATATGAATGAAACTCCGATTTAGACGACAGTTTCACATCAACGAATTCTCCCTTCTCTTGGTTCTGCCTAGCGAAAAACTCGGTCCAAAAACACTCCTGTATTGGTGCCGATAGCCTGCGATGGGACATTAGGAGAGTCCCAAATTACCTACTGAACATGATTTTAATTTCTCATTCTTAATAATGGCTCGCATATGTATTCTATTCTATTTCCCCGAGTTCATATAGCAATGCACAAGTAAATACAGCTAATACACAGGCAAACCTAACTACCGTACATGCCAACTGATGTTCTCATACATACAAACAAGTCAAGTAGATGGTTAGTTACTCAACAAGCCAACGAAGAAAACCACCCCACCAATGACAACGAGAGAATCAAACGCCTAGCGCGTTAGATTACATTCGCATAACGACTATTTAACTAACCCATTAGTTAGTTAACTACTCCGTACTCCATACTCACTCAGAAAGCCTCCTATGGCGTCCTCACCCCCTCTCCCATACCCAACAGCCCGCCCGCCAACCCGTTCATCCGCCTGCCCAACAAATCCTCTTCGCTGGGCAAGCTTGTCAGGCTCTCGTCGCGGCGCCGAGACATTTTCGTCATATGCTTGCGCCACGAATGGACAACGTCTTCATTTTCAGCGAAGTCGTTCTTTTCGCGATGGGTTGAGTTGTAATTATAGCTACTGCTTCGTGCACGGTTTCCATTACTGGTGCTGAGCTGGGGAAACTTAAAGGTGGGGCTTGGCTGTGCTATGTCCCCGTTTTGCTGTGGGGATTGCTTGTGCCTCCCAGAGTCGTTTGGAGGTACAGGGGAGTGGCTGGGTGTTGTCTTATGAGAACCAGTTCCTCCATCCGGGAGAGCGACGGGGCTTAGGGAGAGGTAAGAGGATGGTTCAAGAGAACCCGTTGAGGTTTCTAGGTACGTTGGTGTGTAGGCTTTTGGTCGTAATTGGGAACCATCCGCTGTTGATCGTGCGGAGGACGGTGAGGAGCGCAAGGAGTATCGAGAAGTGCCTGTGGAAACTGGTGGCCGCTTGCTCATGTTCAGCCTGGTCATTTCCAACGGCCTATCTTCGTCGCCCGATGAGTCCCCCGTCAACCCTCGATTCTGATCCTGTGATCCAGTATTATCCCCTGTGCCTTTTCGGGTAGTTCCTGGTTTTCCCGACATTACCAATGTCGTTGACGATACGGAGTTGACCCTTCTGAAGGTCTCTGAGCTGCCATTCCCTTGTCGCCGACGAGACATGATGGATGACGCCGTAAGGTCTCCTTCGACCACAGTGCCGCCTTCGGCGACATGTGCAAACAATTTCTTAATCCATCGCGAGCAGCGGAAAATCTGCCTCCACCCTTCGGGAAACAAGGCGGGGAACTGCAGAAATCCATGCGAAATGCCTGGGATCAGAGACACTTCCACGTGCGCTTTTTCGTCGAATGTTCCCATGGATCTCTCAAGTCCCAGCTCCTGTCGTTCGCGGAATCGACGCAGTTTCGCCTGGCGGATTCTCCCTGCGAAAATCACCGTGTCGTCGACCAGCGGGTCTCGTTCCCCTGTTAAGAAGTAGGTTTTGGGAAAGCGTGCCAGAAGCGCTTCCGGTGCAAGGAGCGGGGAGAGGAGGAAGTCTGAGCTGAAGTCTGGACGGTTGTATGGGCCGATGTAGAGGATTATGGTAGCACGCATCATCTCGGGAGATAGGATTCGATCGTTAAAGTAGGAAATCATGGAGGAGACAGCGAGGCGTGTTTCGATCTGCCCGGGGTGCTTGTCAGCTGTGGCCACGACTTGGGAGGCAGTGTTTCCTGGAACGGGTTTGTCGATGCTTTCGGTGTCAATCACTGGCTCATGTTCTTCATGAATTACCCCGGCGTGCTGCTGGGCGAAATAGTCGTGGATGACCGGGTGTTCTAGGGAGTCGTCGCGGAGGGTTGATACTTGGGAGGAAGCGGAGGCTAACTTGCGATAATCCTCACTTTTCTTTCGGAGGACATTGCAATTCGTCTCTCGCATTCCCCGCTCCCGAATTAAGGACATCTCCTCATCCGTCATCCAGCTACCTATGTTCATATCTAATGACGGATAAATGAGCACAAGGCCAACAGGAGGGGGCAGCGAGTTCTCTCCGCGCCTTTTCCGTGAATCCGTGCTCCCTGACTGGAGAACCATCAGTGTGACGCCAGCAGCCAAGTTGCCGCCAGCGCTATCACCCGTAATGACAATTTTAGGACTAACTTTACCACTTAGCCCGATGCAACGGCCACGACTACTGACGATGGTGTGGTAAACGTCGTAGCACTCATTCAGGGCGTACGGATATGGATATTCAGGCGCCTTCTTGTAATCCAAGCTCAGGACCGGCACGCCCGTCCTAGCGGCCCAGGCTAGGAGCTTGTCATCACTCATCCGCGGGCCCATGGCCACAAACCCGCCACCGGGGATATCCAGAACGATATTAGTATGATTCTTCAGCGTACTAAGCGGGCCGTTATAATAGAGCCATGCAATGCACGGATCCCTGTACGACGATTCTTTCGGCCTCGGAATCCGAAGCTGAACTGGCGCATAGCCCATTAAGCGCGGGCGCATAAGCTTTCCGAGGAACGACAGGTACGGTGTCGTAGCCTTATTCCACGACACTCGCAGGTGCTCCACCGTCAACACAGCCCTAACCTTCCGAACCTTTTCATCTGCATGCTCCGCGGCAATGAGATAGTAAATTGAGAAGACGATAGACGCTATATCCCGCAGCCACCTTCTTTTGATATTCATGGCCGTCCAGAACCCGGCATCCAGCGCCGTGGTTACCCAAGTGGCACGGAAGTAGGATCGGGAATATAGATTCGCGAGCGGCTCTGGAGACTCGAGGCCCGTTAACTTGGCAAAATTCCGTGATACATACAACCACAGAAAGGTCACGACGGTGGCCTGCCAGGGAGTGACTCGCTTGTACAAGCGGGAAGATAGGAGGCGAATGCCCGGTGGACCATGTTTGTTGCCCCTGCAATGACATGATATCTGTCAGTCTGTATCCCTGTTTCCTTGTGTTTGGAAGACGGCCATTGGCAGCCTGCTCTGGAGCCCAGGGCTGAACAACCGCGAATTTAGGGAAATGCCATCAACACTCACCGTAAGAGATATAAGGACCAAAACGACACAACAGCGAAGACCTGTATCTTGCGAAACTGGGTCGACGGCCTCCCCAGGACATGATCTATCAACGGCTGTGTTAGTCATGGATACGTACCAGAATTGAGAATTTCGACAAGACAATAGGATGAAAGCAGCAAACCGCACCTATCATCTTGGCCTTCTCCGATCTCGTCAAGGCAAAGGAACCCGTATATTCTATATTCTGTGATAACCCCCTAATTTTTGCGCCCCCCCCCCCAGGAAGAAACAGCAGCGACGAAAGAGAACAAGATGTCCGTCAGAAGGATCCCGTAACGACAAAGAAGGCTTATTCCAGCGTTTTGCGCCGTCTGACTGCCGCAACCTGTAAACTGCTAACTCTGCTAAGTTGCACCCAGAGCGCCGAAATGGACACAAATCCGGAATTACCGACCACCACCGAACCAGAACGGGTCAATATTTATTTAGATAAAAAAAGAAAAGAAAAGAATCGGAGGTGTGAACAGCGCATATCAGTACTAGGACTGAGGATAAGTCGGAAAAGGTTTCTGTGACGAAAGGGAAGGTTTCAAATTTCAACCTAAGAACGTTGCCCTGCCGCAAGAACAATTTGCCTCGCTACTGAATTAAAATAGGAAGAGAAAAAAAGAGAAAAAAAAAAAAAAAAAAAAAAAAGCCAAAATGCAAGCGATCAAAAGTTCATGCTATGCTCAATCGTGGCCTCGATCCGCAGAATCAATGAATCGCCTATCGCCGGCGGAAAAGTTGCGAGACACACACAAAACAACATCGTCATCGGGAATGCAGTGTGTTTTGCATGTGAAAAATTACCGCGATACACCCGCGATACGCTCGCGATACACGGCCCTGTGATTGGCTGAGGCCTGCACGCCGTCCGACTTCTCCAGGCTTGTGACCAGCAGGAGAATAATAAGCCCGCCGTTGCATCAGCTGCGAAAGGAAAATTTGACCGGGTTTCAAAAAGGCGCCAGTCAGATAGCTATAGCTACTAGTACTGTACAGAGATGCAGTTCGGTGTGTGCGGGGTGTAGTACTGTGTCCTCACGGCAAAACCCTGCTCCGAGTAATAGGAACAACAGAAGAAACAGAAGAAACGCTATCTACCAACAATGGGAATCACAAATGAGAGCAAAATCCAAGAATATAAAATAAATACAAAACACAAAAGAAACACAAACACAAACACAAAAGAAAAGAGATGCCAAACAATGGTCAGATCATAAGCCCCCCACAATCCAAATGCTACGCTATAGTTTCCTGCAGTAATTCCTTCCCCGATCCACCTGCCAATCACAAAGGCAGACCTCCACCACCATCCCCAGTAGCCCTGCCACACAGATGCCTGCGGAGTCACTCACCGTCGTCGCTCCCAGGGAAAACTCCCGGTCGTCCTTTGGGACCCGGTCCGAGATCTCCGCGAATGTATTCACGTACACCAGCCCGCCCAGCAGACCTTCCCAGAAAACGATGAGGAATATTATATACACGCTGGGGATGAAATTGAACAGCGCATGGAGGATGAGGATGCTCAGGTTAATCACCTGGAGGAAGGAGGGCAGATAGAGATTGTGGACGCGGATGAAGGGCGTGGAGGAGCGCGAGATGAAAACGCCGGTTTGGTAGATGGCGTTGTAGGCTGGGTAGAAGGCGCGGAAGTGCTTGAAGGGTGTTTCTTTCAGGGGGAAGAGGAGTGTTGGGGCAACGCCTTGATTTATCGTGTATTCGGCGATGTATACCAGGAGAAGGGGGAGCATGCTACATAGATTGAGTAGATTTAGCGAGAAGTTTGAGTTAGAAATGAAGTTATTTCGATTTGGGGGAGCGGGTCGGCCGACACTCCCAAGAGGGAGCCTGCCTCCCCCCATTTGAGAAGCGTTTGGGAGAGACTTACAATGGAAAGAATAGAGCTTGAGCCTTTTTCAAATCCGCTCTGAATCGTGACCAGGACAGATCACCCCGGCTAGCTGTCGCCTTGCCATCCTCCCGCGCGTCCGCCAAATCACGTCCTAGCAGCCCATCCGTCTCATTTTCGCCCTCGTCCAGCCCTCTCCGCTGTGCCCGACTCCTCCCAAAAACGGCGTGTTCATCCACCTCACCTTCCGCGTCGACTTGCTCGTAGTCATCCAGCTTCGCGACACACCTCAACGGGCCCCGGGGGAGAATCGCGAAGAAGCTCAACAACATGATCAACGGCAACCCCGCCGAAAACAAGAGCGTGGTTCCCACACCAAACCCAAACGTCGTGGTTGCCATCGCGTAAGCCCCCGCACCCACCAGCCCAGCCGCGCCAGTCCCGCTTCCCCACGCTGCCAGACTGAACGGTCCGTAAAAATGAGTCAGGCCCAAAAAGCTCAGCTCGCCGCCCCCGCTTGAAAAGCTGGCGAGAATTACGCCAAGCATTTTGGTTGTGATGGAGTTGCCTGCTGGGGAATTCGGTACGTAGGCCGGCGAGAGAGAGATAAGGAGCATACCGCCGGCGGATAGGGTGACGAATATCAGGATGCGGACGGAATATGGGACGGTGTGGATGAAGTAGGGCGCGCATAGTTTTGTGAAGAACGAGGGGACGACGTCAGCGAGGAGGACGGCGGCTTTGGGGACGTTGGGGCCGACGAGGTCAAGTGCCGCGGAAAGAATAATTACGTAGAGGACATTATTTATTAGCCCTGTTGTTGTTGAGGGGGTTAGTAGGTTGGCTGCCTATGTTGTTATTGTCGGTGTTGTTGTTGCCCGGGGCAAGCAAGCTTTCTCGGTCGTCGGTCGTCGGGAGAATAGCTATTCTCACTCACCAAAAAAACAGAAAGCGATACACACTCTTGTATCTGCACCATTGAATAGGGCTTGAAGCCGTCCGTAGAAGTAAGGCCACGAGGAAGATGGCGCACCGGGGAGTGGGAGCATTGCACCACAAGGTTGTCGGGTTCAGGGATAGGATAGCTTCATGGGAGTCGAGGCGAAAAATGGTTGGCGGTAGCAGAGAGGATTTAGGTTGTGGAACGGAAGGTAAATTACCCAACAGGTGAGGTTATACTGTCGAGAAGTAGCTTACCTCCCATAGATCCAAATCCATGAGCGTTTGGCGTGCAAGTAGCTATCGGTCGTTGCTATCGGTCGTTGTATTCCAACCAGATGTTACAGTGCCTCGCAAGAAGTTTGAGACTTCTAATCAATATTCACTAGTCCAAAAGTAGTTTAACTCATAGTAGTTAGTAGTAGTTATAGTGTCACATGATATTTGAATGCACCCATTTACCCCTATTTTCATCTCTATACTGTTACGCGTAGAATTCTTCTCTATTTTTTCTATTTTCTTTCTCATATGTTTTCTTCAAAATAATGATTCTTCATATCCTCTACATACAATGCTGTAAGCAGCGATGTTGGAAATGGCTGCTTATATTTCGGTTGGTCCTTAGGACTCTACGAGGATCAAGCAGTAGGAGATAATACAGTGATATATCGGAGAGGATTCGGATCAAGTAGTTAGGTATTGAGGGTGTAGAACGTAGGGGTCAGATTATAACAGAATGATCCGCTGGTCCCTAGAAGGTTGGACCAGCTGCTAGCTATATACACGCAGTATTGTAAGCAGATCGAACTTGCTATGATGTAGATGGCGTAGTATGATGCAAGTGGCAAGATAATGCCTTGATTTCAAACCTGATATGACATTGGTGGTGCTATGTTCGGCGCAAAGTTAAAGGTGGCTAGATGCACCTCGCCATGAAGGTGGTTAAGGCAAAATGACCTAAGGCTGCCCAATTGAGATAGCAAGCGTGCGATGCTTTCATCCGCTGATGGGCTGGTCTCCCATCCCGCTGTTTTCACCAATTCGTCCAATTCGTCCACCCGTCTGGTATCCTCTTTTCTCAGATCACCGACCTCGAGCGTTTTGATGTGTCCAGCCAGGGTTGAATCTTTATTGATCATTGCCGACAATTTTAACACATGCAGATATGGCTTCTTGAAGGCATCCAAGTTCACTGTCTCATAAAGACATGGCTCGATCGAGAGGCGGAAGGATTTGCAGGTACGGGCTAGATGTGTGATGTCTTTCGTGTTCAGGTGGCCCACAATCTGCCGTTTCAGTTCAACGGGCAGTCTGGTGATATTTTCCTTCATATTCCGATTAGTACTTCCATTTATCTAGCATCGAAGCTTCTTGGCCTTACCCTTTGCGGAAAATTGACCTGGCTCTGGAACAGAGGCTGAGGCCTGTACCTCAACTCTGTTAATGCAGCAGCAGCGATCACCGTCCTCTCTCCCTCATCTGGAGGATTCAACAGAAATCGGACATCCATTCTCTGCAACTCGCCACCCGGCAAAGAATAGCGTGTCTGACCGGTAGATAGAGACTGGTTCACTGAAACAGGGTCAAAAACGGTTCGTGTGCTGAAGTCGTCGAAGAAATAATTTGGCCAACTGGACAGGTAACCACACCGCGGCTATTGCAACTGGCCAAAAGGCAACGCCAAGCAAGATAAAAGGAAGGGTTAAAACTAGAAAACACCTGAAAAGTCTTTTGGAACGGGGCCCAAGGAGATGGTTGAGATTGGGATTCTGTGATCCCATGCCGGCTAGCGTCGTTTCCGACGTATGTAGAGAATAAGAGATGGGAGAAGGGTGGGTGCAAGGCCTCTCTTTATGGAATCTAGCAAGAGACACAACAAGTTCCAGAGTGCAAGCAAGCCTTGACTGCTTCCTGCCCGACTCTGATTGAGCCCCTGGAATTTGTTAGCACGGAACCAAACGGTTCGGATCTTCGCTTCACCCAACCCAACTGGGGATCAATATGTGCATGGCCATCCATACCCAATAAGCCACGAAGGTGCAGGAGGGCTGACGGCATTTGCTTATGTACGGTATGACACCAATCATTTACATTTTCCACCAAGCAACGACCTAATCGCTCTGGGTGTGCCTGGAGATTCGGGATCGTTTTGGATGAGTTGAGATTTTTATTGATAAAACACATTAATCTGCACCATGGAACAGGTCTTCCTCCAGTTGCTCCTTCCTTTCTTCACAAACAACTTGTAAATCAAGCATCTTTTCCTTTAGTTTCTCTACCCCTTGACGAAGCTTAGCATCTTGCAATTGATGACATAGTGAGCACGTATACCCGATCTGCAGTATATGTCCATAGTCTTCCCACAAAGCGGTTATATGCCATCTAAGCCCAGCAAGTTAAGTTTCTGCAACGCTAATTCCCCTTGTGAAACTCTCCTTGGAAGCGGGCATTTGAGGACTACAGCTTAGATCAACAAAATTCTCAGCGCGCGAGAGAGAAAATCCACCTTCGCCCGAATCCACCACACAGAAAGGAGAGCATTAGGAAGCACAAATTATTTACATCTCTCATTGGCTGGCTTCTCCCTCTTACAACATATGAAAATCATCCAGCCATTTTTGTAAATCCGACTCAACCACTTTCTGAACTCCGTGGCTTTGTGCCGCAATCTCAGTGAAAGCAGGATGCTGAAAAGCCTGTTGTTTGATATTTTCCTTGTCTTCGATTAGCTAGCTATTCATCGCGTACTTGGCCTACACATACCTTCACAGTGAGAAGCATAGACTCGAATTCTGCAGAAGTCTTGAAATTCCAGCCTTGACGAAAACTGTTCCTGGCCCAAATGTTTTTGAGCCCATCAGCATCATCCGGAAGAGAAGATATGAATGAGCAGAGTTCGCCGAGTCCAACTTCATCCGGGCCAAAATGCCACGCGAGGGTAGCAAGTGCTGTTATTTCATCGCCTGAGAGCCCCTTGTACCAGCGCTCTAGCTCTTCCGTCAGGATCAAACCGCTGGTGGGAGCCCAACAACGTACAATAGACTCCAATGCGACAATGGTTGCGTCGTGTGTAAAAAATAAAGAAGGCTCAAAAATACTCCCAGTATCTACTGCCGTCTTAGCCATATTGTCGACGCTGAGGATGTTGTCGGTGGGGATACCCTCGCGAGTGGAACCCCCCTGGGTGGGTGCTGCTTGCACGGCATCTGACAGAGATGCGCCCTTCGGCGGAGTTGGCAAGATCTTTTTCGTCTGACTAGAAAGGTTGTCCGCGCTTCTCCGCTTGCGCGGGTTCCCCGGCGGTGCCGGTTGTAGTGAGGATTGATCTGGATGAAAAAAATTAGCAGGTCTCTGAGTTAAAAACACTCTGGGTAGACTAACCTGGCATCTTCTTGGGAAGGCGCACAGGATCTCTGTGGCTTGATAAAGTGCACAAGGGAGCGTAGGGAGATAGTAGGTAGTATAGAAGTTGGGACGATCAACCATTTTTATACCATTGCCGGGTTTTCAAGTAGATTCGATAAACAGCTTCCAAGAGGAATATCAGAGTTTGGTAAACTTCCTGTACCGTAATTTCCTATCTGAGGGTCGAATTTTGTATGTTGTCCATCTGAAAAGGTGTTAGATACACAATGAAAAGAACATTCCTAGATAGCGTGGCTTCCAATTTGCGAATGTTTAGGGGGCGGCTTCCCTCTATGTATACACTTTGGCGAATTAAGACTATACACATCATTTTTTTAATGGATTAAAACAGCGAGCCTTGTGGGAAGAATATTCTTAGCACCTTTATTAACTCAAATTTGGTGACATACTGTGAATGCTAATAATTCAATCAGTTAGAAAAATAATCGGTAGAAATTGAACTGGAATACTGGCGACAGGATGATCTGGTCGTTTCAGGCAGAGACCATCATTGCTTGTTACTTAAGCTAGCTATGGGTCATGCGTTGTTTGTTTATTCAAATGCAGTTAGATTGGTGCAAGGAATGGTCAGCTATGACATTTTACCTATGCACATCAAGATATCATACGTATGAAATGTAAACTATGTAAACTATGTAAACTATGTAAACTATGTAAACTGTTTGCCCATCTTAATCATTCCTCACTACAAGTGCGTGCTATGTTGGCATCCTCAGGTTCCATTTCTTAGCTCAAAGCCACCCACCGCCAATGAGCGTCTCGAATCTTTTGAATTGCTGCAGAGAGGGATTGATTATGCGGGGTATTAGCCAAGAGAAGATCATGGTAGATAGCACCAGGAGGTTGGTCTTGATCTAAGGAGCGTGTATGTCTGCCAGGCACCGACACTGCGTCGATGATCGCAATGTTCGTAATTCGGACTCTCGGTCTTGGGTCGTAGTTTATCTCAATCCCGTCCGCAGATTCCGCCGGAGTTTCGAGGACGCCATTTGTGTAGGATGTCATAATGGTCACAAATGAAGAAGGCGATGGGGAAATAAGTTTGTATACATGGGCTTTCCGGTGGGGGAGGAAAAAAGGAAGACGGAAGAATTTATACCCCGCTGGGCCTGGTTGTCCCGCGAAGATAGACACCTGGTGAACAGGAAGCAGAAAGAGGCAAATGATTACATCTGCAGGTACTAAATAATGTAATCCAACTCCAACCAACAGTGTGGACAGGTTGGCCAGGGTTGTAGGGGGAAACGAAATCAAATAAGAAAAAACTGTGGAGGACAAGAGAATTGAGAAATTATATAGAACGCCGACACCAACCGCAGCATTCATGTATACACCTCCGCAAGTTCGTCCATAATCCAATCACAAAGCTTATAATGACAGCCAAACCAACCCTCCAATCACATGTGCAACCCCCCCCGGAAGATAGTCTTTTGTTTTCCCACCGTAAGATCCGCCCAGGCCACGTATTCAGAGCTTCGGATGGGATCGTTATGCTTTGGGAATGTGATTCAAAAAAAGAGAGTGTAACAGTGCAAGGAGAAGAAGTCTTTTCGCCAGTGATATGCAGGTGGCTATTACTCAATGGGCACGACCGGCTGAATCGCATATCCCTGAAATAACCAGCCTCCAACACCATGGTAATCCCCGCCCACGAGCCCAGAAGATCGGACAGTGAGGCTGGGAGTAACTTCCCAGTGCCAGAACTGACAAAGTAGCTGTCTCCACGCTTTAGCAGTTGGAGAATAGGGGCCGAAGCCTGGCTCTGTTAGCGAAGATACCACATTTGGGGGAGGACATGTACCGTTGACATGATCTCAAAACTAGAAGATTTTACAGGCGCTCCCTGCAAGCTCGCAACGGTGCTCCGCTGAACTGTGTGCTCAAATTTGACTGAAAAGTTTTCGGTTCGGGCGATGATTGTCCATGCGCATTGTTCTGCTTCTACGTCAGTGACCCACCAAAGATAAGTAAAAGAAGGCTGCCAATGTACGCTGCGCAAGTTCAAACTCAAACTGAAAAACTCATACGGCAAAGGGATAATATGTCAACCAATGCACGCCCTTCGCATTAAATGACGGGAGCAAATTTTCTCTTTGCGTGTAATGCAATAATCCGAGTGCGAACCAATGTGGATGAGCAGCCCGTATTCGAACGAGGCAACGAGCAAGCGGTGAGGCATCTCTTATAGTCAAAAGCATTGAGGTGCGAAGTTTGGCCTCAATTAGTATCAAGGCAGTGATCCCTTGCATGAGGATGGCACGGACTCAAGATGGATTTGTATATCGCACTCGGCAGCCAGGTGATCGACGCAAGTTTCCCCGTGCCCTTGGCACGGCCTGGCACTGGCACCCCTGGCTTTGCATGCTGCTGGTCTTTTCCGAGGCATCCCACGCATACTGCAATGGCATAGGTAGTCCGGGTGATGCCAGCGGCAATCGACCACTGTCCTCGTTGGGAAAAGGAAGATCCAATATCACTCTTGTCGGGAGTCTAGGCCATCATGACGCAGCTTTGGCGAGGAAAACCCGGCTGATTAATTTTGGCGATGGTGTAGAGGTCAAACCAACTATAACGCGACATCACTAATAGCGATAATCAACATCACCTGGAGCCGTGTCAGCACATGTAGGGGAGAGAACCGTAGTTTCACTGAACTTACTTCAATCCAGAAAGGCTAGTCGTGGACGAGTCCACCTGCGGCAAACCCTGCCGTTACGATAACAAGAAATGCATGGATTATAACCTCACGGATTACAGGGCCCTGAGATGGTATACCACGAATTCCGCCCCAAAAAATCAGACCGGCAATCGCGAGTACCGTGTAGTCGATAGATACGACCACAGCTGTACCTTTCACCGACGCCTCGTAGGCGACCGAGCTAACTCAATGAGCACAAGGCCTATCAAGATTGGGGGGGCGGGAGAGCACACCATAGGATCAACCCGAGCTTTGCCGCAGGGGACAGAAAACAATACCCTAAGAATAATCGATGCAGGAGGGCGTTCGTAAGTGGTCCGGCCTGGATTTTGCTCAGCCGAATCATCTAGACATCGCGATTAGCGAGGACCAAAGCAGGGGACTGGGAATAACGTACCTCAAGGGCTAGCGGAAATGCTGTACATATTCCCAAGGGATAGTAAAATGCTGGCGTATCTGAAACAAGCATTTAGCATTTATCCATCACCATCTCGGTAGAAGGGACTGCTCACCCCCGCGCTTTAAGCCTGATAGACCAATGCCAATGACAACAGCATTGACGCAGATAAAGAGAACGAAGATTGATATCTCAGGTAAACGGTGAGGCTGAGGGCGGTAAATGGTAAGCAAGATGAGATGCACCGCACTTAACACGATGAGCGCCGCCGACAGAAGCGCATATGAGATGTTAGCATACATTTCGTAAGAAAAAGCAGCCAAGTTGGTCCATTTTGCAATGATCTGTCGCGGAGCGATGTGATGTGGTTTATAACTCTCGGGAAGCCAGACTCTGTGCGCCTCGAATGGGGGCTTTTTCGATGGTCGAAGGGGTATGCCATCCTCATCTCAGCAAATGTTGGAAAACTTGTCCAGGGCCTGTACAATACACTATTGTTGCTGTATCAGAATGGCCTTCAAATAAGTAAAGTAAATAAAGTAATCACTGGCTGCGCTTTACATACTCCTGGTCAGCAGCCATCTCGCATCCCGCACCTACAGCAATAGCATAGATAACTTTGGGTGATGGTACACCAGCAGCATCGGCCATGCTGTGATAGTCTTTAACGCTGTCCTCATTAGGCAAATGGCGAACACTAGTCGGGATTTGAGACCATCCAGGCGCAGCTGGTCCTTTTGGGGAAAGTTCGATATGATAGTAGACAACAACGAGATCAATTTTCCAGACAGCAACCCTATTGCTGTGAATGGCTTAGCTGATGAGTAGCCATAGGGGACTGCACTGTAGAGCCGCTTTCTCCTTTTTTTTTTAGTCAGTCTCAAGCGTTATCTCAGCATGCTCAAGCCTCTCTTCTCGATATTTTCGGATTAGCGCGACCAACTAAACTCCTTTAGACTTCTGCCAAGTCCTACTAACTTCTGGACCAATAAGAGACTTCACACGTGCTCGCAACCTAATATCTCGTAGAGAGTCTGAGAAGAAACGGTTCCATCGTGTGTGGAAAATCAACACCGCCCATACAAAATATTCGATTGACTTCGAAATCATGCATCTACCCTAAATATCTGCCTGATCATCACCAAACCGATATTTTTCAAATCCTCAGCCATTCTGCTATCATCTCTGCTATTTTACAACTCACTACCCCTTCTCATCATGTCACAATCGTTGACAAAAGACAGCGTGTCTTTTGAATCTCAAGACACCCAATGTCAGACGCGCTCCAGCCAATATCCTTCATCACTCGAAGATGAATCCTCTCTACAACCACTACAGTCTCCCAACAATGTAGATGATGAATATGACACATCAGACAGTGACTTAACAGAGCTTGAATCTATTGATACTCCTTCGGAATTCGAGATCACCGATACTGATACCGATACCCCGCGAGCTTGTTCACGATCAAACCGCCGTGGCCCACAGCACCTGCCTACAATGCCTTATAACCGGCAGAAAAGACGGTCAAAATTATCTCGCGTTGTCAGAACATTACAGCGAAACAGTTGGGGAATGGAGGCCTTTATAGAGGCTTGGATTCAGAGTCCCGATATCTTGACTCATCGACGATACAGTACTCCTACGAAGCGGCGAAATGCACTATATTCAGCACTTTCCAAAGCAGGGGTATTCAATGATAATCAACGTTATACTGTCTTGCTTAAACAGGAGCTGAAATGCCTTACCAATACTCCCTTCTTTGCAAAATTCAATCACGATTCTGATCTGGATACCATTGACTTAGGTTTCATGAACTCCTCGAAGCGAATATTCTGATCCACTTCAGACACTCGAGATGTGAAATGCTGAATGGTGTCATTGATGAAAGAGGTGTCAGTATTGTTGACATTCTGCCTGTTATTCTGACAGATCTGAAGAAGTATTGATCGGAAATATTGCACTGCTTGTTGAACCTTGACATGACTGTCAATAAAGACAATGGTCTTTAAAATGTGTTGAGGTATGATCTTTCCATCTGTATCAATGGCCTCGTTCAATAAAAAATATAACATATCATAGGATACAAGTTTACCGCGTGGAATCGGATGTACGCCGATAAAGATATCAGGACGGTTAATGGAAGTTCGAATAACCTGAGTCTGCCGTGGGTTTACACCAATAGAACGAAATCCAGCCTCTTGAAGAATGATATCTTCAGCTTTACTGCTGAGGGTTGCGGAACAGCCAAACCAGACAATATCCTCACGAAGAAGCAATCTCAGGTGCCCCAGCCTGGCAAACTGACTACGGAATTGACTCCACTGTGTGACAAGATGACACTCATCGATAGCTACAAGCCCAATCTTTTCTTGTAAAGTAGGGTCTTGAAGAACATGCTGAAATCGCTTGCAAAGAGCTTGCTCTGGACTGAGCAGTATATGTGTATACTCACCTTGTTGAATGCGTTTGAGTAAGTCTTCTTGCCCCTGGAGATTATCAGCACTGACCAGACAAGGATTGGCACCGGGAAACCGTGCTATATCTCTTGTTTGCTGATCACCAAGCTTGTTTAGAGGAACCAGTTGAATGGTTATCTTTCCTGTCAGAATTGTATAGGATTGAAGAATAAGGCTCTTTCCATAGCCAGTTCTGGCAATGAATAAAGTGTCGCTATATCCATATATCATGCGCCGAAGTATACGGACTTGTTCTATGCGTGGCTGAAGAGTACACTCAGGATCTGGACGCGGGCCTTGAAGTATTCGTTGAAGACAATACTGAATAACATCCTGTTGCTTGTCGATACTATCTGGTCCGGCATAGCTCATGACAAGTTGTGGCATATCTTCAATGTTCATTGAAAGTATTTGCTTTAATGATGGCTTTTGAAGCCGCTGTTGTAGCTGACTTGCGCGTTTTCTTCGATCCCCCTTGGCCATATTTGATGCAGTTGATGGGACGTTGTCCGACCCAGCTGTCAAAAAGAAGTGTTATGTGATTGGTTCAGAAGTTGTCGGAAGATCCCAGAAGTTGTCAGGAGTTCAGAGATGTTGTCAGAAGTTGATGTGCCGCGTGAGGTTGCCAAGAGTTCAGAAGTTGTCAGAAGTTGCCAGAAGTTGCCGGAAGTCGCTGGAAAATACACTCGGTGCTTTGACTAGAGTCTCTGATGGCTGGATAGATGTTTTGATGGCAAGATCAAGGCGTTGGATGACTAGACATGATCATGGTTGAAAAATTAGCAAATCGTTCCCGTGTTCAAAATCATAGTAGCAGTTTTCGACGCGACACTTCATACTCAGAATATATGTATTTTCAGATAAAAATTACATCAATCGACAGGAAATTGAAAAATTAACCCTCCAAGGTGGTAGAGAAATGATCTATGAGTGATGTTGCACAGTGATTCTATCTCAAACATTATGGTTGGAGCAAATCGTTCCCGTGTTGCTAACAAACAGGAACCGTTTTTTCTCAGACGCTCCGCGAAGAGTTTGCTGGGGTTGTCCCATTTAGGTTTAGTGTAAGCCCCGTGACAGTTGATTGGCTCAGATGTTAGCAGGACTTGGCAGAAAGTAGCAGTAGTTCGGATTGGGTTAGCTCGGAGTGGAGTGGCTGAGTTTACTGAGATAATCCCGCTTGAATCTGGCTAGTGGAGGCATGTGATCACTCTTTGAACTCGTCCACATCCAAAATAGTAGGCCAGCCCACCCCATGGTGGTAACCACTGGCCTTCGCGAAACCTTACCCCTCTTCAGAGTTGAAGGCGATGATCTCCGCGTCATAGCACATATCTGGAGTCTCATTATTATAATTTTTTTTCCTAACTCCCACAAAAGTAGATCATCGCTGAAATTCTTTCATCTTTAACACACCGAGAAAAATATTCCCAATCAAGGTATCTTTTTCTTCGTTTTGCTTTGCATGAAGTGAGTAGATCGTTCTTTCGTTCACAGCAGTAAGCTAATCATACCGGAATCCTCTAGGCTGAGTAGCGAATACGCAGTCGCTTCGTGGAGACCACAGCCTCGGTCTGCCACCCTTCTCGTCCGACTGATCAAATTCGGCGATATACCACCGCCTAAACAAAACCACAAATAACGGGGCTTCCTACTTCCACCACTTTCCAACCGGGTTCTTACGTCTTACTGCTCTACACGAAAGTTTCCGCAAATTCTCAGGCGCGTCGGTTGGTCAAGGATCGAGGCCATGACTGAAGAGATTGAAGATCCAGGGACTTCAGTCGATCATATTGCGGACGACGAACGTCAACTCGAAGAGATGGCGAAACAGAAGGTTTGAAGACATATGGTTCATTGAAATACAATGTGCTAATTTCTACCTAGTCAGGCGAGGATGTGGCTTTGGACCCCGATTGGATAGACGTGAAACAATTTGAAACATCGCCGACAGTTCGAGCGGTCCTTTTGAGAAAACACGGCACCGGTGGTGTTGCCAGAGTTAATGCCAGCCCTTCGAGATACACACTGACCAACAAATTGACTGGGATCGTTCTTGTTGCTGCAAAACCTGGTGAAAACATCGTCTTGTTAGGATACCCGTCTGTTCGGTATTTCCGCCGGCGCACTCTATGAATGACGAATGTATTGGATCAACTCCTCAGCGAGAGTGTAGGATAACTGTATTTTTGCACTCCATCCAACCTTCGAGTCGATTTTGATGTCAATCGACGGTAGAGCACGGTACCATGGATATATAAGCTGTATGTACTGCAAGTTCGGACAGCTTGATCTATATCTTTCAAGCAAACCAAGAACTTCTGTGAGCTGCTGTGAACTTGAACACGACGATTGATAATGTTGGATAAACCCGATGAGCTGCATGATACTGAGGTCGAAAACTGATTGAGGGAGTTGATCTGATAGGATAGAAATTTGCAAAGCAGGTATGCCATCAAATGACACTACCAATGGACTTTCTGTGTTGTGATCATAGCTCTGCAAGGGAATGTTTAATGGGCGTGTTTGTTGTACTGAGTCTGGCCATATTGCGAATATTAGTCACTTGATATCAAAAAAAAAATAAAAAATAAATAAAAAAAAATAAAAAAAGAGAGCGAATGATATCTTTCATACTGTGTTTGTCTTGTATATGATCGAGTCCCTTGGCATCGCAAAGTCTGCGTGCCAAAACGGCTAGCTTTTCTGGATGGCCAACGCTCTCCCACCAAATTTTAAGCTTTGGTACAAGCTGAAGATAACTTTGACTAGCAAGTGTCGTTTGGGTCATAGAGAAGCAGCATAAGACAAAAACGGTCGCGCCGAGTGAGGATATCTTCTCAAGATTTTCACGGGCCTCTACTCTTGTGTGGCGTGTCGTGGTTGGTCGCTGCTTCAATGAGGTAGAATCTTCCTTCAAGAGTTTGCAAAGAAAGCTAAATCTCTTAAGCTGAATCTTTGTTGGCTCATGATTGTCATGGTCGTATTTTGCTCTTTCTCCTTCAAGCGATATGATGAGAGGATCCTCACTTGACATATTCGCCGGCATGACGTTTGAGGAGGACGAACGGGACATTTGGAAGATGTGGAAATGATGGCATAAACGGGAAAAACAGTAGAGATGGGAGAAGTGGTTGGGAATACGCAGTGTCTTGACGCTGTTTGTCCCACTAGTCCTATTTTTCCTGTCGCTTCCGCAGTTCCCGTAATTTCTGCTGTACCAACAAAATTATCGCGCTGTTGCAAGCTAAAAAAATTCTCTCAGTATGCGAGTTGCTGCCGTTCCCTGTGGGTGCCTTCCGGGCCGTCCCGTTTACTAATGCACATGTTAGTGGTTACATTTCACCATGCCAGCAATCGATGACTTAGAGAAGAGTGCGGACAATCCCTTGGCATCCCCAGAGGTCATCTGTGCGTTTGACAAGCTACTAGCGATATTAAAAGTGCAGAGGCCAGGTGGTGATGGTTCCCGCATTAAAGATGCTCGCAAGGAATGCCGCCAGACTGCACACAGAAATGTGGTCCTCTACTCCATGACCAATCGATAAGGTGTTTCTCAACTCAGCAACCAGGTTATACGTGGCGCTGGTTAATTGGACAAAGGGCGGTGGTCACCCTACACTCCATCATTGAGCGACCTGGATCAGGCTATTCCTGAACACACGTTGAGCTCGCCAACTACCAGGATGTTCTTCCAGTCATGTTTGGTTTGTGAGAGGCTCGCGCCTCTAGCTCTCAGAAGGACTTGCCGTTCCACTTTTGAACCGGTAAGATCCGCTTTGCTCGCCATGGAGAAGTAGGTGCTGCGTGATTCCGAGAGAAGGCGAAGCCACCAGCCGAGGACATCGTTCTGCTGTCACAGGCGACAGGTGGAGCTTTATCACTGGATCCACCACAAGATTTACCCCAGTCTGCTTCCTAAAGCTGCTTGTCACACTAGTTGCCTGGAGTGCTTTAACCAGGAGGTCTTCAGCGGCTATTTCAGTCACCTTTTTTTTTTTTTTGAACTTTTCGGATTTTTGATCATCATCATCATCATTTTTGTGGGTCATTGTTGCTCGAAATCTTGAAATTGTAGAACCAGAACAATATACGTAAGGAGGGAGCATCCTATACTCCGTTTTTCCCGAAGCGCTTTACTGTACTGGATGTGGGTGGGCAGTCCAAATGATTGCGACTGGGAAACTTTGGAAGCTTTCTGGAAGAGGCTAATCCCAAGAGAAACTTAAATGGCAGCTGGGAAGTCCCAAAGCCACGATGGGAGGTCCCAAAAACTGAGAGGAGCAGGCCAACCAGAACGTCAGTAATGCCTTGCGAACTTGGACCTGTGCGAATAATCCCATCATGCATTAGGCACTAGCGCAAGGGTTAGACCCAATGAAGGTGCGTCTTTCAGCCAGCGCTCGAGATCCGAGAGTCTTTCACCATAAAGGGTCTCGATAAAAGGCAACCGAAATGTGTAGGTTTTGTGGCCCAGATTCCACGAGCCTGTCAAGACTAACTGTTTGCATTTGTTGTAGATCTCCAGTGGATAAAGGAGACCAGAACATTAGAGGGCCGGAGTAAAAATATCTCCCGTACGAGAGACTGAACCAGAAAGCCGAAAAACGCTCAATATCAGCTCACTTCTGGCTTAGTTTCGTGGCTCTTGGCATAAGATTTCTCCAAGCAGATGGAAAACATAGATGTCACATGACACGGTTAAAACGTCAATCGATAAATACCACCCTGTATCAGACCTTGGAGGGAACCCGAGAGGTGCTGTAGAGGATTCTCCGGCGTTATTCCATGCTCAAATGTACGCCATTGGTGAAAAATTCGGGATATCGGGACTAAAAAGCCTCGCGAAAGAGAAACTAGAAGGTGACATTGATCATATCTGGTGTGGTAGAACTGTCGTCCAGGTTATATATGGAACAACATACCCTAGTGATCGCGGCTTGAGAGATGTGATAGTAAGATTTGCGGATCAGAATATCACGGCTCTGAAAATTCGACCAGAGTTTGAGGAGACACTGGAGGATTTCCCTTCTTCACTCGGGATCTACTGTGGCGGATGATAGGAGAGGATCGGCAAAAGGAGAGAGAGAGGTTAATAGTAGATCCCGCCCCTGATTACCACAAGACTTCCTAGTAGGTAGCGAGACTCTATAAACAGGCTTTCTCGTTGAATGATGTACTCCGTATTCGGCTAACATCGGGGATGGATCAGCACGCTGCCTACTCTCTGTCGCGAACGCCGGCCCAGGGGCGGAAGAAATTATTGCATTGACTGCAAAAGGTCCTTCATTGATTGCCAGGCCCTTCGTCAGCATGACGCAGATTATCACTCCTACTGCACGGATTGTAGGAAATCTTTTCCTTCAGTCTACAAAGCCCGGAGACATCGCTCCCAAAACCACCGAGTGCAGGGGAATAGCTGCGAGCAAGTTTTGCGGAGAAGTTGATTTCTTGGATCTCTCTGTGCAGTTCGTGCCACTTCAATCTTCCCCCGATTCCCACTTTTTAAAGAATAGCCGCTGGCGACTTAAACCAATTACGGGCCCTATATTCACGTGACTAGCAGCCTTCTCTTGTACTTGCCAGTTTCGCTTAATGAAAGCCTTGAGTTCATCCGTCGGTTCTCATCAACCCAGCCTGCAGCAAGCTTCCTACCCACCCGCCAAGTTCGGTGCTCGACGTCACCTTTAATTGAGCATCAATTTGTGAGCATAAAGTGATACGGGAGGCTCTAGCCGCCTCAAAGGTAATACGTGCCTTTACAGACCCCGTTAAACGGGAGAACATATAAACTATGTAGATCCATGGCGATGTTTACTGAAATCAATTCTTTTGTTCTTCGTTATAGGGGATCTTGGCAACTAATTTTACAGCTTGACGTTGAAAAGAAGCGCACCTGATTGGTCAACCAGCCGTCCCCAGTCACATCCACTGCTTTTTTGAGATCCGCACTCTCGATTGCCCCATGTAGTCTACAAGAAATCAACGGTATACAAGTGAGCAAAACTGGGATGGCAGACTGGTAAGGAAGAATGTGAGCCATACCTTGCCGAGAGTGAATGCGGAGTACATCCTGATCCAACCAT